TCCTCCTGCACGGCCCAATCAGAAGAAGCTTCTCCTGGTGGAAAGGGAAAGAGGCCCAGCACCCTCCCCCCGACCTGTGCGGCAGCCTCTGAATGACTTACAATGCATTCCAGGGACCAGGCACTTCTCATGGAATGATCTCACCAAGGCCTCGCCTGGAAAGTGGAAACGTTTTATAGGCAAGGAAATCAGAGCTCAGAAGTCAAGCCAGCTGCCCAGGATCACATAACCAGCAAGTGCTGGCTACTTGGCTGGCCTTGAGAAAAGACCCTGAGTGTCACATAAAAGCAGGACGCGGTCTTACTCTTCATTAAACATTTCCTGAGAGCTCGGAGATGGCCTGATTAGCAAGGCAAGGGGGAACAAGACAGCGGCTCCCTCTTCTTCACTGTTACTAGTGCAGGTGAGGTATGCTGGGGGACCAGAATCTGCAAAGCACCTGAACACTGACATATTTTCTTAAAAAATACTGGACAATTACCTAGTAAGAATGTTGTCTTGAAATGTAAAAACTATAAATTAAACTGGAGCTAGGTTCTGAATTGCTTTTTTAGTTCACTTGTTAAGTAGTCCGTACAACATGTAATCAGGACATACTCTGAAGATTACCCCAATAAGCTTTGAAAAAGCACAGTCATTAAATAAAATCATGAGATAATTGCATGGTTCTCCAGGTTGGGAATTACTAATGTGGATGCTAATTTTGTCTGTGCAACCACACTGATATCGGAGTGAGGATGCTCATGAAAGTGAAGTTCCTGTCACAGAGCCCCGCTGCACATCATCCGGGCAGGTGGTATGGCTGCGGCAGCTCTCGCGCTCCTGCTCTGCTCTGCTCTGCCCTGTTCTGCTCGGAGGAGTCGAAGGGATGGGCATGAGCCCACCTGCACCCCAGGTCCTGGACAAAGCACTATGCCTCTCCAGGCCCACGCCTTCTTTGTCCTCCTCAGAATTAAGATTCCTCCACAAAGCTGAAGATGGGAGGCTGCAGCCCCTGGCAGAGCAACACAATACCCTATCACCCGCAGAGCCTTCATCTGGCAGTGGAATTTGCACTTTGTTCACAGCAGTGCCCCCAAAACAATTACTTCACTGATTGCATCTGTCCTGTTGAGAGAGCCGGTCTGTCTATACTGCAACTGACAGAGGACCAGTATGTGAGAAGTCTGACCCATAGGTTCTCTAGAGTAACAGTTAGAAAGAAAGTAAACAAAGGGGAAGAATCATAGTGATGTTCAGCCAATGAGTGTCTGGCCACAGGTTCCACACCAATTGGGCAGTTGTTTAAAAAGACACGAAAAGAGGCCAGCACTGTGGCACAGCAGGTACAGCTGCCACCTGCAGCACTGGCATCCCATATGGGTGCCGCTTTGAGTCCCTGATGCTCCACTTCGGTTCAGCTCCATGCTAAGGCTCCTGCGAATGCAGTGGAAGATGACCCAAGTGTTTGGGCCCCTGTACTCAACATGGGAGACCTGGAAGAAGCTCCTGGCTCCTGGCTTCAGCCTGGCCCAGCCCTGACTACTGTGACCTACTTAGGGAGTGAACCAGCAGATGGAAGACCTCTCTCTCTCTTTCTCTCTTTTTCTTCCTCTCCTTCTTTGTAACTGTGACTTTCAAATAAATAAATGCATCTAAAAAAAAAAAGACATGAAAACTCAGTTGAACATTTTCTGTGAAGCCATTTTTTAACCCATTCCTACAATCTTTGAACTTCTAGGTTGGCCCTGCCAGTATGATGGAGTCAAAAAATAAAACCCATGATCCTCCAGAAGAGCCTGTAGTTGAGGGTTCCTCAGAATTTGCGATAATCAGCAAGAAAGGGGTGTTTGAAAGTGTATGAGTGTGTGTGAGTGTGTGTTAATGTATGAGTGTGAGTGTATGAGTGAGAGTATGTGTATAAGTGTGAGTGTGCATGAGTGTGAGTGTTGTGTGTATGAGTGTGTATGATTTGTGAGTTTGTATGTGAGAATGTGTATGAGTGTGACTGTGAATGTATGAGTGTGTATGAGTGTATGTGTATATGAATAAGAAAACGTGTGTATGAGTGTGAATGTATATGAGTGTGAGTATGTGTATGAGTGTGTATGCATGAGTGCGTGTGTTTTGAGTGTTTGAGTGAATGTATATGATTTGTGAGTCTGTATAAGAATGTGTATGAGTGTGTGTATGAGTGTGTGTATGAGTTTGAGTGTATTAATGTGTGACTGTGAATGTGTGAATATGTATGCATGAGTGTGAGAAAATGTGTGTATGGTTGTGAATGTGTATGAGTGTGAGTGTGCATGAGTATATGTTGTGTGTAAGAGTGTATGAATGAGTGTGTATGTGAGTATATGTGAGAATGCATGAGTGTGAGTGTGTGTATCAGTGTGTATGTGTGTGAGTATGAGTGTGTGTCGGTGGGTGGGTAAAACACCAGGGAACACAGCCCACACATGCTGCACAGAAAAGCACAGGTCTGCATGGAGGTAAACAGAACCATGTGAACTTGGTCAGTGGTATCCCCAGGACACAAAGGCACAGTCCCTCAAGTGCTGCGAGTACAAGGTACCCACAGTGTAGGGAGACAGGCTGTCTCTGTGAGGCTCCACACGTAAGCTCAGGGTTGCTCAGATGTCAGTCACCACCATGGTTTCCCCAGGGCACGGGACGAGTCTTCTGCCTCTGGAACGCTGCATCCTGATGCCCAGCTCAGGGCTCAGCTTCCCCAAAGGACACATCAGTTTTGCATGTGGCCGAGTGAGAAGCCATCAAGTGGTGAAGATGAAGGACCCTGAAGCAGGATTCCCTGGTTCAAATCCCAGCTCTTCTATTTACTAGTTTTAACTTCTACCCTCAGTTTCCCCAGGCTATTAAACGGGATTGTAAGAGTATCCACATTGAAAGCTGGCACTGTGATGTAGTAGGTAACGCCGGCACTGCAGCCGGCAATGCATCCCATGTGGGCACCGATTTAAAGTCTCCGCTGCTCCACTTCCCATCTAGCTCTTTGCGATGGCCTGAGAAAGCAGTAGAAGTTGGCCCAAGTCCACGGGCCCCTGCACCTGCATGGGAGACATGGAAGAAGCCCCTGGCTCCCGGCTTCAGATCAGTGCAGCTCCAGCCATTGTAGCCATTTGGGGAGTGAACCAGCTGATGGAAGACCTCTCTCTCTCTTTCTCTGTCTGTGCTTCTCTCTGTAACTCTTTCAAATAAATAAATAAATCTTTAAAAAAAAAAAAAAGAGTACACACATTGTTGGGTATGTGTTAGAATTAAAACAAGTTCATCTATGTAAAGTAGGAATTATACAATATTGTTAAGATAATGAAATTACATGAAGTTTCCTCATTACACATGTAGGAAAAAACTAGTAAATCCAAAAATACTTTTCCTCTCATGGAACTAATTGCTAAAAATTCAGCTTCTCCGCTTTAATCCTCCTGTTTTGTAATTAAGCTATTGCATGAAAAACCTGGTGCAAAGAGATGACCGACTAGGTTGACACCACACCACCCACGCTGGCAGGTTTGAAGGCAAGGACTACTGGCCCTAGGGGCCTCCCTGGCACGGGGTTCCCGCTGCTCCCACATCAAACAGGGCTCTCCTGCTGTGTGAGCTACCACGGCCTGGACTAGACTGACACTGTCAGTGGTCCCCTGCTTGTGTGCTAGGATTCCCACGCTGTTTACTAACTTCATGAGCAGTGGCGCAACCTTGACAAACACAGAAAGCTAACAAGGGCACTGGGTGACCAATCACTCACTCAGAACTAGATCCCAGCCCATACGGCCAAACACAACCCAAAGAGACAGGTCATGAATGAAATCGGAAGCAGCCTGCAAGCTCAGCCACAGGCAACGCGCTACAGAAGCCGATGACTGCAGGTGCCCCAGTCCTACCCACACGCCTTAGATTCTTATAAGGTCAGAGGCGGCACTCAATATCCATCCTGAAGATATTCTAACCCAGGGCAGTGTAGACAAGGCTTCTCATTGTTGAGGGAACTCACAATGAAGGCCTCAGTGGATGGCCCACTGTACAGATGGAAAGATGGAGAAACTGAATGCTGACAGGCTAACTCTCCTCTGGATCCAAAAAATAATGCAATTATTAATAAAAAATACTCTTTTGGGGGTGGAGGGATACAGCTTTCACAAATTCTAAACGCTTTCACATGTATAAGCATGTGACCCAATTAAGCATTTTTTAAGATTTACTTTTTAATTCATTTTAAAGGTGTAGGAGAGAGAGAGAGAGAGAGAGAGAGAGAGAGAGAGAGAGAGAAATCATCCATCTGCTGGTTCACTTAACCAAATGACTGCAACAGTCAGGGCCAGGCCAGGCCAAAGCTAGGAGCCAGGAACTCCATCTGGGCCTCCCGTGTAGGCAGCAGGAACTCAAGTATTTCAGCCATCATTTGCTGTTCCCCAGGCACAGTAGTGGAAAGGTTGGAACTAAAGCACTCAAAATGGTTCTTAGATATGGAACGTAGGCCTGCCAAGCGGCAGCAAGACGTGTTACATAATGACACCTGACTCCTGCCAAGTAAGCACTTTTTTTTTTCCCCTTAAAGATTAAGGCTCTGAAGGGTTTGGTAACTAGACTAGGGTTCCAGGCAAAAAAAATAATAACTGGTGGAACTGGGCTGGAATGCAAAAAAATCTACACTCCTCACTTCCATATAAAGACGGGCAAATCAGGGGCCGGGCTGTGGCATAGCAGGTAAAGCTGCCACCTGCAGTACTGGCATCCCATATGGGTACCAGTTTGAGTCCTGGCTGTTTCACTTCTGATCCAGCTCTCTGCTATGGTCTGGGAAAGCAGTGGAAGATGGCCCAAGTCCTTGGGCTCCTGCACCCCTGTGGGAGCCTGGAAGAAGCTCCTGGCTCCAGATCAGACCATCTCTGATGGTTACGCCATCTGGGGAGTGAATCAGCAGATGCAAGACCTCTCTGTGCCTCTGTCTCTCTGTAAGTCTGCCTTTGAAATAAATTAATCTTTTTTTTTAAAAAAAAAAAAAAGGGGGAGGTGCAAGTCAGCAATCTGGAAGAATCCTATGCTTCCACAGTAGTATCTCAAGCAGGCATTTGGCCCTCTGGGTAAGAGGTGCTGAGGTTTGATTCCCAGCTCCAGCTCCTGCCTCCAGCTTCCTGCTAATGCCCATTCTGGGAGGCAGCAGTGATAACTCAGACACTGGGTTCCTGCCACCCACATAGAAGACCTGGATTGAGCTCCTGGCTCTGAGCTCCAGCCCAGGGCCAGCCTTCATGGTTATTAGTAGATGGGAGCTCTCTGTCTGTCTCCCTAGCAAATAAACAGAGAAAGCAGCATCTCAGACATTTCTACTGAATGGCTTGTCACGCTGCAGCCCTGAAACAAGGAGTCCTAACGAGAAACGGGTCTTGGATGCAACAGAGGAACGGTAAATGGGAGAGCAGGTGCTCTGTCTCCTGAAGACTTGGACAGCAGGGGGATCCACCTGCCCTGTTGAGGGCAAACAGGCCAGCAGACAGACCAATGCAAAGGCTCAACAAGAATACAGAGTGGTACAGGGCCCCAGCAGGCTATAAACGCTTTGCTTCCTTAAAGCCCTTTCTCAGCCAGCGGCCCCCTGAAGTTAGGGCAGATGGGGTATAGATAGATTACCTTCCTGGGGTGCCAGCTTGAGGTCCAGATTGATTTCTGGCCATTTCAGATTAAGTTCAATGGTACAACAAAATCACAGAGTGTTTTCAATTTGGGAATACGGCTCTCACAGTCCGACACAGATCAAATAAACCCAGGATTTCCATTGGTCTGAGTTCCCTCATAGTCCTTATCCCCCGACAGAGTAGGCAGGATTGTGGAATAGGCACTACTTTGTATTCTGCTTTTCTCACATAATCGCTTTTCCTCTCTCAACCCAAGCACGTCTAACGACCCTGGCAAGTTCCTACTCCAAAGTTGTCTTCTAGAGTGTTTTGATTTCATCACTACTGTAGACAACTGATCTCAAACAATCTCTGGGACAAGTCTGATTTGTTAACTCCTAAGGTCTGAGATCATGGTTTGGGTGAGAAGGAGGACGCTTTGGGGGCGGGAGAAGAAGAAAGGAAAAACAACTGCGCCTTTCTTCTCAGGGAACAAAGTACTGTTGGAGACCCAATCTGCCGACGCCCCCTGGGTAGACAGGGCAAGGGCAGGCGCCTACAGCTCTTGGGCTGCACAGCTATGATGATGCTGTGGGATGAAGCCACTTCCCACTCCCCCAGAGCAGCAGTGTCTTATGGGCTGAAGAAAATCACCACAGGACAAGAGCTTTGAGCATCCTCCAATTCAAGTCCGGTCGCATCACAGGCCCCACACATACTTTCCCACCTCAGACCTCTGCCCCGTGTGTGCACACGCCACAGCACAGCGCACAGAACCCTCCCTGACCCGCCACTCCGGCAGCTCCCTAATTCCAGGAAGAGAGAGAAGCTGCCCCACCCCCAAGGGGCTCGCAGGGTAAGAAAAGAGAAGCCGCAGAGTCCATCCACCACAGGAACATCAGGAAGCCTTGCATGTGTTGTTACCCCATCATTTCAAATGGGTTAAAATGGGGCCTACACACCATACACTGAGACTGCTTTATAAAGTTTTTTGAACTGGAAAATACAACACACACCCATGGAAGTGTCTATGACATAAATGTACTACTAAAGAATTACAGAATAAATACTAGTTTTATAAAATTTTTATTTAATTTTATTTTCTAGATTTTTAAAATTCGTTTGGAATGCAGAGTGAAAAGAGAGAGAAAGAGAGAATCTCTAATATTCTGGTTCTCTCCCCAAACAGCTGCAATGGCCAGGTCGAAGCCAGGAGCCAAGAACTCCATTCCAAGGACTTGGGCCATCTTCTGCTTTCCCAGGTACATTATCAGGGAGCCAGGTGGGAAGCAGAGCAGCCAAGACTCAAACTGGCACTGTGATACAGGATGCCAGCATCGTAGACAGCAGCCTAATCCACTGTGCCACACAATGGCCCCAAAACTTTAACTGAAAAGAAATCACCTCTGTACAAGCACCGGAGTAAATGGTGACGATGGCACTGCCCAGTCACTAGTACAAGAGGAAGATGATTAAATGCAAACTTTTCTCTTAATAGGCTCATTATTTGCATCCCTCTCAGTATCCCACTATGTGAATTTCAGTCAGCACACGTTCCAGATTTTCCAGGACAACTCCAATTCTGAAGCACAGGTCCTCTGGCCTCCAAAACTACCAAAGCTTCCAAGTTCTTACAGACTTCGAGACTTCTTGCAGAACCAGAGAGTAGCAAGAACAAAAACCCTTGAACATTCCATGAGCCCCAATTTAAGGTTCAAAAATGCACTGTCTGTGGCCCATGTTCTGTGTCTGCTTTCTAATTGTAGTTCTGCAAAACCCAAGAGGATCCAGTCCCTGAGTATGGGTCCCAAGTCAGCACTAAGCTGGCTCACATAGATTTTCTCATTTCCACCACCAAAGATGACAAAGGTTGCAAGCATTTCCGGTGCAATTATGAGTTGCATCTGCACACCCCAGCCTGTGAGCGCCTCCGGACAATTTCACACAACTCTGGCTCAATGTCTCCCTGTCGCCCTCTAAGCTTGAGAAACCCATTGATATTGAACCTCATTTGACAGCGAAGGCAATTATGAGAGCTGTGTGTCAGGGAACAGGGGGAGGGTGTCCCAGGAAGGCACAGACAGAGGGGCAGTTCTGAGGCACTGGACTTGCCGGCTCCCTCCCACTGGCAGGGCCTTCACCTCCCCAGGGGCTGGGCCCCCTGCCCTTGGTCATTAGCATGGCTGCTGATCTCCACACCAGACACAGCCCCCTGAGAGGCTCCAATGCCTTCTTTCCTCCATCTTGTTTTTTGTCTCTGAAAAATTCCAGTTTTCTCTCAAAGAGTACAATCAGATTCAGCTACATGAGAACTGTTCAAACACGCAAGTGCTCTGCAGGAAAACATTCACAGTGGCTCCAGAGACAATGCTGCTTGGTGAAGCCACCTGGAACAGGGGCAGGGCGCAGAACCCAGAGAAAGGAGTTCTAGCAGACAGGTGAGGTGTCAGCAGGCCTGTGCCCCGGCACACCAGCTGTGCAACACAGACGGCAAGGGAGCAGTCAAACTCACCCTAACGAGGCTATGGGACAGAGGTTACAAGCAAAAGGTGTTTAATGGTTATTGGATGCAACAGCCCCCATCTATGACAAGCAATGACAGCACATCTCCCCATTTCCTATAGGTCGTCGGCCAAATTCCTGCCTCCTTCGTAAGACAGGATCTGCAGTGTTTTCTTTGCCATACAGATACACCCCATGTCATTATAAACAAATGCCGCTTTCTTTGCAGCGAACAACCACAATGTGTGGGGAAGAAACCTCTCCAGTATAAATCCGTGGGGACAAGGAGGCATTGTGGGCATTAAATAATTATAACAATCTGACATGAGTCAGAGGATTGTTTCTCAATGGCCCTGCTGCACTTGAAACTTTCAAGTCAACCCCGAACTCTCTTTCTTGGCACTGTGTCCATATGCAAGAGGCTACAGTCAAACAATCCTCATTCTTCATAGCTTGGTCCCATCACAAGGAGCTGGCAACGTGGGCACTCATGAAATATGGATGCGTTACATTGATTTTTTTATAAGTGTGGCCAACAGTGTATCAATTATATTACTATGAAAAGCTTTTCATAATTCATTTGGGGGGCATCAAGAACTCGTTTCTGGGAGGCATATGTATGGTGAAGGCGACTGTTCTGAAGAGGCCCGGCACCCACAGGCACAGAACGCAGCATGTGACCGATGTGGGTTCAGAGGGAAGACGCTTACATCCAGCAGATGACAACAGTAAGGTGCAGCAAACCCACAACCATGCCAGCCTCTCTCCATAAACAAGCACAGGAAAATCTCAGGGCCAGCAATCTAGCCCCCTTCTGGCTAGATGGATCTGATCACAGTACGAAGGTACCCCATCCTCGCCACAGGTAAAATTTGCTAATTTCTAGACAACGGAAAAATGATTTCAAGCATCCCTGCTCTGCTGTGTTTTTATTCCAAAAACGTTAACGGTTGACTATAATGTCTGGTTTTGAGGGCTGACAGCGTATGAGTGTCAGCATGGCGGAGAACACAATGCAGTTGAAACAGGGCAAGGCCTGAAAAGGACCAGAGTGTCCGGAGTGGTGTGGACCCACAGAGCACTTGGCCTGAGGCATGGCTGATGGGCCACTGGTGGACACGATGGGTGCTTCTCTCAAATCACGCAGGGCGCATAAACGTCACCCAGGTGTGGGGGGAAGTGTGCACCAGACGTGGGAACCAACACCCTTCCAAGCTCGTGGGCCGCTGGCGAGGCTGTCCTGACAGCCAGAGGGAGCATCTTGAAGAAGAGAGGGGAGCATAGCAGCTCCAGGTTCTCCACTTTCTGGTTAAAATACTGCAGTGATGTGGGTCCCGCTCTGTCTCCACCACTAAACTGGGCATTTCAAGAGCAGAAGCCAGGTCACGCTCATCTTGACATCACTTTCCCCAATCAACAACTGGCCTCAGGGTGCAAATTCTCCCTCTCACTTGCAGCTGGCATTGAGTGCAGGAATTCAATTCCTCCTCTTTCTTGCACCAGCCCACAGCACTAACATGGAAATGCCCCCAATAAACCAAGCGCTGTCAATCACACAGGGCCACAGGGCTTGGTAGCCACTACAACAACACCGAAACGGGCTACATCAAAGCTGGGCTTCATTTGTGTATACGGCTCTAATGCCATGTCCTCGCATTGCAGAGAGGGCGCACTGTGTTAGTCTGAGTCTGGAGAGACAGAATTCGTAGATGTGCCTGTAGGTACCCAATGGGGGCGTGTGTCAGCGGACTTGGCTAGCACAGCCACAGCAGCCAACAAGTCCCAAGACAGGTGGTCTGCAGCCTGGAAAGCCCAGGCGGCATGCATGGCTCGGGGCAGGTCCCAGGGCCTAACTCTCGGTCTTGAGAGTCTGGGGCTGCTGGTGTGAGTCCTGGCTTCCCAGGCCCCGCAGCTCTGTGGTTCCGAGTCCAAGGCAGGAGTCACATGTGTGAATCCCAGCACTCAGCACTGGATACCAGTTTTGAGCGAGATAAATCATCCAACAAAACCTGAAATCCCCTGGAAAATAAATGAGCAGAACAAAAGGGGCTTCAGGGAAAATGCCCAACAATCTTGGCTCAAGTGTCCTGAAAACCGGACCATGTGTAAGGAAACCATCCTCATGGTGTTTTTCCAAAACCCCTCGGGGGTTCCCAGACAGCCTATGGAGAATGTGGTCCCACACGCACCGGAATGAGAGATGGTGGCGGCAAGGTGGGCAGTCTGACACCCATGTAGTCAAAAGGAGGACATGGGTGCACTGGGGCTGGGCTAACTTAAAGCACCACCCAAGGGCAGCCTGGTGCAACGGGGCATGGCTCACGAGACACTGGCATCAGTGTGTCAGCAGCTGCCCATCAGAGAGGAGAAGACAGGTAGTCCCTAGGCTGCTCAGCCTCAACCGACGTCCTGCTTGGGTTCCTAAGAGCTCTCCAAACTCTGAGAAACAGAAACCTTCAGTCAGGGGCAAATCAAAACCTGGAGTCCTGCAACAAGTGATTTGCAAGGATTACGTTTATGTCACACTTGTGACCTTAACTTGCGACGTTCCTTTTTCCCCAGAGCCAGTGCATTAACAAGAATTCACTCATTTTTAAAAAGGTAAGAGAAAAGCTTATACACATTGGTGTTGCCAACACCTGCTCTTTTAAGTGCCTTGTGCTAAAACTACATCAGAACTTTTCTTCTTTGCCCTTTGGCCTCATCTACGTCCTATCTATACAAGTAACACACATTGGCAGATACAAACACATACAGACCCCCTTTAAAACTGTCTCCATGCCTCTGCCTGGATGATAACTTAGCTCAATTACCACCCAATTGCTGAAACTACTAATTACTTGGTCATTGTTAGCCGAGTGTTTCACCTGGAACACTTGTTACAGGGTAGGACATCATGTCCATGTCCAGTCTTAATTACAGAGGCAGGCAAAACACACATGGGCCACTGAAGTGCATTTTACATTTTGTACATTTCGTGGACCTCTTAATCTCCGCTGAATGATTTTACATGTCTCACCACCATGGTATTTCGAAGAACACTAAATGGAAACCACTGAGGCAAGGAGAGTGCTGTGATTCCAGGGGTGGGAGGGGGCTCACTCTCTTCTTCGAGGGTCTCCACCACCAAAGGGGGATGGCTTTGCTATCTGGGCAGGCAGGCAGGCAGGCCTGTCTTCTAACTAACAGGGGAGAAAAGCAGCTTCCATTTTGAACTCACCCTCTGTGGTCAACTTCAGGGGTCTACCTGAGGGGATGAAAGAATACCAAGAAGACAGAAAAGCACCGTCTGGGCTGTGTGTGTGAGGATGTTTCCAAACAAGACTAGCACGTGACTGAGCGAGTTAGGAGGGAAGACCTGGCCTTCATGTGGCAGCACCACCAGTAGGCTGCAGTCCTGGAGAGACTGAACACGAAGGTGAACTGGTGTCCAGCGCTGAGCGCTGGGACTCGTTCACACATCTCCTGCCTTGGACACGGAACCACAGAGCTACGGGCCTTGGAAACCAGGACTCACACCAGCAGCCCCCAGACTCTCGGGCTTTCAGCCTGAGACTGAGAGTTAGGCCCTCAGCGTCTGTAGTTCGGGGGCCCTGGGACCTGCCCCGAGCCATGCATGCCACCTGGGCTCTCCAGGCTGCAAACCACCTGTCTCAGGACTTGCTGGCTGCTGTGGCTGTGCTAGCCAAGCCCGCTGACACACGCCCCGTCGGGTACTTACATGTACATCTACGGACTCTGTCTCTTGAGACCCACACTAACACAATGCACCCTCTCTGCAATTCGAGGACATGGCGCTGGGGCCTGCAGAGCAAAGCCCAGCCCTATACACAAACAAAGCCCAGCTTTGATGTTGGCTGGCTCGCCTGCTCTCTCCCTTTTGACTGTGGCTTATCAGCAGCGCCATCTCCATTAAGCACTTACTCAGCAACCATTACGGGGCCCAGCCTGCACTAGGTGCCTGTTCCCGAGAGGAACGAAAAGAAAAAAGAAAAAGAAAAAAAACATGCGCCGTGCCCACGTGCAGGCAGCACTCACTGGTGGGGGGACACATGCACACACTGACACTGCTGTGACACAATATGGACTTGAGGCCAGCATTGCAGGCTCTGTCACTCACTGTGTGACATGCTTCCTACCCCTTCTTGCTGAAAGAGGATTAGAGCCAAGTGCAAAGATTCCCCAGGCCTGTGAGGTGCTTCTCCTGCTAGACCTCAAAATCATTCCTCGTCTGGTCTTCCCTTCCATGAGACCGGAGCAGAAGCCTGGCATCCTCAACAAGGACAAGCCCTTCCTTAAGTCTCCCTGAGGCCACAAGCACCCTCCTGGCCCAGGCACAGAGGTCCTCTTCTAGGAACTTCCCTAGACAAACCAGCAGGGTTTCCAGGATCAAGGGTCCCACTTACCATCTTCAGTGCTGGTCAAAGGCCACTCACACACTTCCATGGTTTCTAAAGGCTCCCACTGGCTAGGGACACATCTGATTTAAAAGAAACAAACTGTTTTCAAGAGCCAGAGTGGGAGCAGCAGTCCTCCACGGCCGATGGCCCAGGATACCGTGCATGGAAGATGGCAGCTCACACGTACTCCTGGGGCACCCCAGCCCCCAAGGCCTCTATTCCAATCTGAACGTGGCATGGTCCCCAGCCTCTGCCAGACCCCCTCCTTCCCCAGAGCACAAACAATGCCATCCACTGTCTGAGGGGCCACTCCACACGCCTCCCACATGGCAGCCCTGGTGACCAGCAAGGGTGGTACGCAGCAAGCAGGAGGTAAAGAGAATGAGGACAGGCTCCCACAACAGCTTGCTTGTTCCAGTCAGACTGTCGAGAGCCTGGATACAGTGCCAATGGGGAAAGAAGTACCCTCCTTGTCGCACTTGTTCACGGCCTGAGCCTTGTGGTCAGTACCTTCCAACCTGTGTCCAAAGCAATCAGCTCCAGGCTGGACCCCACCCCCCTTTCCTCCACCTTCAGAAATGACTCAGGCGGCAGGCATTTGGCCTAGCCGTTACAATGCCTGTGTTGCACGTCAGACTGAGTTTAATACCCACCTCTGGCTCCTTAATCCAAGCTTCCTGCTAATGCAGACCCTGGGAGGCAGTGGCAATGGCTCAAACAGTTGGACCTCTGCCACCCACATGGGAGACTCAAACTGGATTCCTGGCTCTCGAGTCCCAGTCATTGTAGGCATTTGGGAAGTGAACCAGCATATAGCAAGTCAAGCTCGCTCTGTCTCTTACTCTCTGCCCTTCAAATAAACCAAGTAAATTAAAAAAAAAAGACATGATGTACAATTAAATCCAAAACAATCTGGAGATAGGTGAACCTGTAACTCAACATGTTGTCTCCCCCAGCCCTGGTCCCCAAAAGCTGACAGAGACAGTAGCAACCACAAGCCAAGTGTGCCCCATGGATTCCATCTCACCCAGCCTTGCACAAAGGCACACGCTGAGGTACAGAGAAGTTCAGTGATTTACATATCACACAGCTCTTGCAGACAGGCCTCTGGGCTCCTCATGCTTCATTTCTAGAACGTTCTGAATTTTACTATCACACTGCTGATTAAACATGCTGCTATACAAAATGAAACACACACACACACACACACACACTATGGGAAATATTCTTTCCCCAAACAGTCCACATGGGCTTTGGGAAGGGCAGACGGTGAGCTCCAGTGCATCCTTCTCCTGCACCCTAACCCCTGATCTGACTCCCCTAAAGCCCTCTGAGACTGCTCTCTCAATGGTTATTCAAAGACCGCATTTCCCTAGTTTCACAGGGCAAAGAAACACCCAGCAAGATTCTGTGGCATCCTCCACCTAACTCCCGAGCACCCCCAGGGGAAGGAGCTGGTCCCACTTGCTCCAGCTCCCTCTGCTACTCTGTCATGCTTCTCAGCACTGCAAGCTTGCTCCGCAGAATGCTCCCCTCCCTCTAGGCACTCCAGCAGTGAGGTCTGCCTGCTCCCCCCGCACCATGTCTGTCCAGCACAGCCACCGACTGAGCTTCACCAGAAGCACTGGGACTCCAGCTACTCTGCCCGTAAGTGCTCGCCCTATGTAGAAAGACCTTGTGCTCTGAGTGTTGGTGCAGAACATCATGGTCACTAGCCACAGACCTCTTCCAGTATACCAGGCTCCTACACATTAGCCCCTTCTTCCTGTCCTGGCCAGGCACCTTTAGAAAGGGCATCTTCCTACTGGACTCTTCCTGCATTTAAAAACCCACTGGGTTGAGGCTGACGCTGCAGTGCAGTGGGTAAGTGGTGCCAACATCCCATATGGGCACTGGTTGGAATCCTGGCTGCTCTTCTTCCAATCCAGCTCTCTGCTAATGGCCTGGAAAAGCACTGGAAGATGGTCCAAGTGCTGGGGACCCTGTATCCATGTTGGAGAAGTGGAAGAAGCTCTGGTTCCTGGCTTAAGACTGAACAAGCTCTGGCTGTTGAGGCCATTTGGGGAGTGAATCAGTAGATGGAAGATCTCTGTGTGCATGTCTTTAACTCTGCTTTTGAAATAAATAAACCTATATATATATATAATATATATATATAATATATATATTTTTAAATACTCAGTGGGTAGAGGGATGGCTTATTCTGAAGCCCAGCCAACGAGATTCTCTAGCTCAGCCACCACTTCCCCAAAGACAGCAAGTGAGTGAATGCTGAAGTCAGTGGATTCATACTTACAAAGAAGCTCCAGAAAACCTGGGAGCTGCCAGCAGTTCCTGGGTTAAGCTTTCTCTTGACAAATTCTCTAAGTTTCATAGTATACACTAGATTAAGACAATGACTGAATACCACTATTAATTCTGAATTATTTAAGAATTACTTAAGAAAATCATTTCTTAAAAGCCCATGTCGGGGTGTGTGTGTCCCTCCACTATCCCTGATATTTATCACAGATCTGGCATCCACAGAAGGCTGAGAGACCCTACAGGATGGAGAGAGACATGCCGACCACTCCCATCTCCCTGGTCACCAGAAGACTGTTAAGTGCTCTTTTAACTGTCACCTTTCTAGGATCCTAATAATGACAATGCCAGGCAGGGATTAGCCACATATGCTATGATGTACTCTTCCAATTAACCACCAAAACTCTGCTTTCACTCACCTCCATCCCCAAGCACCTACCCCAGGAAACCATCACTGAATAAGTGGTGGCAGGAGGGTCATTTACCCTACTGTCCTTATAAACCCAGGAAGCAATTTTCTCAGTCCACAACCACAAACCAAAAGCCACAAGATCAAAAGCCCATGTGCATCATAAAGACAGCGCTTCTGAGCATGGCTCCGGCCCTGGGCTGAGCTCTGACTGCTGCAGAACTGCTCTGCGTGAGATCATCCATCCAATCACAGGATGTGACAGGAGAGGGGCTTTGGGGGCTCTTCGCACCACAGTGGCAAGAGCATCACAAAGCAAAATAGGCAGAGACTACCTCTTGCTGGTTGCTGACCCAGTTTAGGAAAAGTTATACCTCCAACTATACCCCAGCCTCTCCCAGACAAGACAGACTTGGACCACACACACACACACACACACACAGCCTAGCAGCATACATCTATCTGTCCTGGGACCCACCATAGGCAGGGCCACTGCTCTGAGAACATCCATGGATCCATTCCAATTCACTGTTCCTTTCTAGGTACTGCTTCTGGGCCCTGCCTCAGGAGCTGACTCTGGCCTGGTGAGCCCTGTGGACACAAGGTAGGAGTCACACTCCGGGTCAAGGGATGAGGCCTGGTCCCACAGGTGCTGATACTCAGCCTTGAGAAGGGACTCGGGGAAGACCTTGCAGGAAAGCCCTCAACAATTCACTACAGGAAGGGTCTTCACATCTGGTTACCATGTTCCAAGAAACAACAGTAAAGCTGGCTCCTAAGCAAGAGGGTGGGGGGCTGAGGGGACTCAGGGCTCACATAACTAAGTCTTATCCTAGCAGCTTGGATAGCACCGTCATATCTGCCTCCCACTAGCGTAGTTATTGGCTCCAGAGACCAGCCCCGCACATCAGTAGCTTCCCTAGGAAAGGAAACTCCTTCCATAGCTACAGACTTCACAGCCCCACAATGCTGGAAGATTCTCTTCTAAAAACTTCTGCAAAGGAGAAAGCTTTACTTTTCCAGAATTCCCATGATAGACCTGTGGCTCACTGGCTCTGACCAGGCAGGAGGCAGTCGTCACCAACCATGGCAGACACAACTGTCTGGCTTGTGCCAATCTTGGGCCCACCATGGAGCTGCAGGTGAGGTCCATTCTGCCGGAACCATGTAACAGACAAGGGGCGGGCAGGCAGGCAAGCCTGTGTGCTCTGGGTGAGGCTCCATGCAAATGTCCTCCACAGCATGGCAGTCACCTCCAGCCACGATCACTAAATGCAAAGGTGCCTGGGGAAGTGGGAGCAACTGCTGGCAGTCCCAGATCGGGAATACGCACAGTCCTAAGGAGCTCCTCTCAGGACCGGGAGGAGAGAGCTTTAGGGGCACAGAACCGAGACTTCTGTAACCAAAGCCCTCCCCATGAGGACAGGGAAGCCCCCTATGCCCCCTGCATTACCATCTCCTGCAGTCACCGCCAGCATGAAGGGCCTAGCACTTGGCACCAGCCCTCTGACGGGGACCCTCTGAGAGCTGCGTGTGCAGCATAGCCCTGGCCTCAGCAGGAAGCTCAGAACCTTCAAGTCACCAGAAACTCTGAGGCTCTAAAGACACTGGGAAGACTGAGAGGGAGGCAACAGTGCCACAGTCAGAGGCCAACCCCAAAGCTCTGAGCTCTCTGGTGGGCAGGGAGCAGGGCTCTAACAATACACCCCTAAGCTAGGGAAAAAGAGAAGAAGCCTTTGAATCCAGCACAGCTGTGCTGCCAGGTGTAGACTCCATGGAGAAAATGCTCCAGCATTCATACGTTGTACCTAAATTCCCAAGCCCCTGCAATCCTCAGAAAGCCCTCACTTTACTCACTACTAAGGCATCGAGCCTCAGGTGCAGTCCCATCACCAGGGTGCACCTGCCAGGCACAGGCTCTAGGCATACAGGGCAAAGCCCGACTCTTCTGCTGAAGGCTCGCATCAACCAGAAGTCCTCAGGCACCTGAGTGGCTGTCCAGCCAGTCTCCTGTGGTGAAGCCATGGAAGCTGGAAGTTGGCAGCCCCTCCTTAAGCTTAAGTGGTGCCACAAAGAAGAGCTGTATTGTGTAGGGTAAGAGGGGCTGGGGTTCCTGTGGTTAGATCAAGACATATAGTCTCGAAAATTCTTTTCTTATTATTTATTCATGTGAAGGAGAGACAGAAGGACAGAGACAAGAGTTCCCATATGCTGGTCCAAGCCCAAAATGCCTGCAATGGCCAGGTAGGCGAAGATGCAAGGGCCGGAACTGGGGACTCAATCCAGGTTTTCCACATGGGTAGCAGGAACCCTATCACTTAAGCCATTATCACTGCCTCCCAAGGTCTACATTAGCAGGAAGCTGGAATCAGGAACCAGAGGTGAGCATCAAACCCACCCTAATCAGCGGCTTAACCATTGGGCCAACTGACTGCCCCAAGAAATATGGTATTTAGTGAGCTGGGGACGTGTACACAAGGACACCCGTGACATCAGTGACAGTCCTCCAGTTGGCACTTGTTGAATGCCTACTACATTCAAGGCCCAGTTCAGAAATAGGGGCCAGCACCAAGTCAAACAGCACTGGCTGTCAGTGGGGAGAGCAAGGGGCATGCACCTTAAATCCAGTGTGCCTCTACACAAAGTGCAATTTCAGGCTGCACCACTGTGGAAAGGGAATGCAGAGTTCACCAGCACGAAGAACAGGACGCCCAGAGACCTGCGTGGATCTGTGGGGCTGGGTGTCCGAGGACCCATCGCTGAGGGCTCACGGCCCTCCCTTTGAAGCCTGCCCCTCTGTGACCTCAGGCCCTGCAGACTTGTTTGTGACTGCTGCACAGGAAAGGGCCTAATGATCACACTTACTAAGGAAGAGCACCGGTGCTATGCCATGTCAGGAAGGACATGTTTGCTTTGTACTTTGGGATGGGCTTCGTTCCCTTCCTTAACATGTGCTCAGCATCGAAATTTCCAGGTCGAAGCAGGATGTCATAGTCCCTTCAGCCCCTTCCAGCTACCGTGACTGCATGTGTGAGAATTACACAGACCCTCACCTGCATCACTGCCACCTTATACAGTCACCTTAGGAGGGGGAACTGGTCTCCTCATTTGATGGACAAGTAAATGGAAACTCAGGGGTTATTTTTTTCAACACTAAGAATGATAAAGAAAACAGTTGACAACTTTAAAGTACCTTTATGGGGATGAGTTAGAGCAAAAGTGCTGAAATTGTGCCTGTCCAGGAATTCTGGGAACTGTCCTTACTGATTTTTCCCTGCTGTCTCACTGAGACAAGGGAAACTGTCTACCTCTCTACCACCATAGGCTGGGGAGATGACAGCTCTGGGCAGTCCCATGCTAGATGCCTCTCACCTCATTCTCAGAGCCCCCTGGCACCCTGGATGTCACTGCCTCTCTTCTTACAAAGGTAAAACAGAGGCTGGAGGAAGAGGAGGGCGCAGGGAGGTGCCTCTACTTTGTTGAAAGGTCAGACTCTTGCGTGGGGGCAGGGGTGGGGGTCATCTAGGCCCCAACTGGAGAAGGTGCCAGGGTAGAGCTCACATGGGAATGGCACCCAGTGAAGTCTGCTGCCTGCTCCACAAGCAGTCCTAACCCCTCTCCAGGCACTACTTGATGAGCCTGCTATGATCTGGAATTCCCCCCACCTACGTGTAAGGCCAGTAGAGTTGATTGATTATTCCCAAGGGAGACTATTTATGCATAAATCACTAAAAATAATGACAGTCACAAGTTAGCTGGGAAATGTGATGACTAGTGCATTTAGAAACAGAAATAATTTTCCTTCTCACGCTTTTCTCCTATTTTTTGAGGTTGTGCACTGTTCATTTAGAGAAAAAGAAACACCAGATTTTCCCTCAAAACCACTGCATGGATAAGCAATAAATCACATCAGGGACTTGGGTTACACAGGACCCTCTACAGATGGACGAGGGCTACAACCTGCCACCCAGGACAGCAACCACAGGAGCTGGCACAGCCCTCAGAGCTGCACTTCGAGGCTTTACCTGCTTCACTGTAACAGGTAAGCTCCAGACGGCCGGTCATCCACAGGGAAATTTTCCTTGCAGCCTGTGGAGTTTGCACGGGCCCTCCTGGAGAGGTTCTTCTACCACAAAGTGTGGCCTTTATAAAAACCTGCCAGCCTTTCTTTCTCAGGTGAGCTGATGATGACCAACAGTGTCAGCTTACTGAACATGTGCCATATGCTAAGCCCTTCTCCCATACTTCTCAAACCTTATATTCACCCTGTAACACTGGCATTATTATTATTATTATTATATTATTATTCAGTGCATTTTATAGAGGAGAAACTGAGCACTTCTTAACAGGCTAGGTAACCTGCACAAGGTCACACAGGTAGCCAGGAAGTGGCAAGGCCAGGAGGAAGAACCAAGCCTTTGATTTCAGAAACCATCCATTCACACTGAATCATAAATGCTGCCTCCTACTGTGTGCTGCACACAAAGGCACTTTAACCTATGAAGAATTAGTTTCCAAAAAGATCATACTTTAAGCTGACAGCAACAGAACTACAGTCTGAGGCAAAGAAAACACTAGAGGTTGACCAGTGCACTTTACTTGAAAAGCTCTTGAGAGAAAATTCATCTTACTCTGATTAACTCAACTATGCACAAAAACATTACTGCTTCCAAATACCTTTGCAAACATGGAGAACTTTCTCATTTGGAAATTTTATTTTGAAAACTAGCATAGCATTTCTGTTCGTGCTCTTATGTTCAGTATTTTCACATCGCTTTTAGAAACAAGCTGCAGTGCAATCTGTTTCCCCAGAAACTTTTGACTCTTTTTCAGCTCATTTCTTATCAGTTATATTTTGTATTTCGTTTCCCCCAAAGAGCTTCAGGATTTTGCTTACAGAAGCCAAACGACCAATTCTTTGATTGCTTAACACAACCTGCAATTCTCCTAGGCAATTTCACAGCTGTAGGGACTTCATGAAAGAACTCAAACCTGATGAGATGATGACCATGACTTCCACTCAACTCTCAGATCATGATGATGTTTACACCATTTAAGGTTAAATGGCTGAAGTCACACGGGTTAACACAACCACTAGACTGAAACTACTGGGTTCCAAACGCAGAAGCTGGTTATGTTTAACCCACAGCAGTAGAGTCCTCAGACTTGGCCTCCAGACTTTGGAGGGCCCTGCTCAGTCCTCCAGCCACACTCCTTCTTTCAAGATGAAGAGTCTCCCAGGGTCAAGATCCTGTCACGTGTTAGATCAGGGAACAAAGAACCCCCGGGCAGGCCACTTCCCTGAGTGTGTTCCCAAACACCCAGCTTGTCACTGCCATGGGCACTCACACAGGGGAGCAGGGCATGGAGGAGGGCTTGCTTCTGCAGTCCACAGTGTCCAGGTGCATGCTGTAAAACACAGCTGGGGGGCTGGCACTGTGGTGCAGTAAGTTAAGCCTCTACCTGCAGTGCCAGCATCCTATATGAACACAGGTTCAAGTCCCAGCTGCTCCACTTCGGATCCAGCTCTCTGCTGATGGCCTCAGAAAGCAGTGGCGGGATGGCTCAAGTGCTTTAGCCCCTGCACCCACGTGAGAGATTTGAAGAAGCTCCTGGCTCTTAGCTTTGGATCAGCCCAGCTCCGGCTGCTGTGACCATTTGGTGGATGGAAGACCTCTCTCTGTCTCTTCCCCTCTCTGTCTTTAACTCTACATCTCAAATAAATGAATCTTAAAAAAAAAAGAAAGAAAAAAAATGCAACCAAGGCTGAGAAGACAAAGGGGTGAGCCCCTAAATCTGAACCTGTGTTCCAAGTCATCATGATGGTATTATCTGTCAAAGCAGGAGGTTAGAAAACTTTATGTAACAGTTTATTAACTTGATTATAACTTTTAAATATTTCCACTTAAATACAGGAGCCTCAGGCTCTGTAAATATCAGGGCAGGTCTGGGCACATTCAAACAGGGAAGTGCTGCCATGCTAAGTGCACTAATGAGAAGCTCACACCAACTCTCAAAACTTATAAACTGTCCTGTCAATTCAGGCATTAAAAAACACTCAGCAAAAACTCCTAGTGAAAGAAAACAAAAGAAACTTCATACAGCCACCTCATCAACCTACAGAAGCAACAAATGGAGCTGTAAAACTAACTTGATTTAAATAGATCAATTCTTCGCAAGGGGCACGTTGTTATCAATCAATGCTTCAACAAGATTCTGTGTGCTAGTTTTTATCTAATCACACGACACATGACTCTGTAGACACCGTCTCAATTTCTAAAACTACATGCGCAGTCTTAAAACAATGATGCCTAACTGCCAAAGTAAAAAGATTATCATCACGTCTGTCACTCAAGGTGATTTGTACCAATTTTGGGATCAAGCATCTTGCAAATAAAAAGAACAAACTCAGTATGGGTCAATCTAAGATGCCTGACTTCAGTATCTCTACATTACGATTATTTCATAACTCAGCTTTGACAAAGGCTAAGAAATACCCAAGATAATCTTTACTTCTAAGTTGAAAAAGGAATTAGACACCAGCATACGTAATTATGATAATAACTACAGAGAACTGAACCTGGGCTGTGATTCCGAAGAAAAGGATTTCCTGTAAAAACTGCCCACCCCATGGAATACAGTAACAAATGCGCTAACGTCCTAAGATGATCTCATCCAGTCCCCAAGACAGAGAAATAAAACAGTATGAAGCAGGCATGTTAACTGTGATGTCATCTCTGACAACTGTCTTCCACACAGAGTACAGCATTCTCTCAACTGGACACTGTGAAGGAAATTTATAACAGCACTTGTGCTTCACGGCACCCCACAGAACGGTCATCTGACCGCTCTTCCTCAACTCCTTATGTGTCCCAAAGCCCAAGTAGAGCCACTCTTGCAGCAATATTAGAAAGTAGCCTTCTAAACACTGAGCCCAAATCTGACTATCCTCTAAGATGCTTCCATCCTACCTACAGCCTACAAGACGAAGCTGCCATTTGTTGACCCAGGAGCATCTCACAGATATTTTTAAAAAAATCTTACATCTTTGCCAAGTTGTTTCAAAGCTGGGCCAAACACCCCCCGAACCACCTTCAATGATTTTATGTGATGCAAAGTTTCTCCCATTCTTTATTATCCAGTTGTTCTCTGATGAAGTGTCTACATTCTCTTCCATCGTTTTTCTTTTTCTTTCTTTTTTTTTTTCTTTTGGGCCATCTTATATCCCCAACACACAGAAAGGTTCCTGGCACACTTCACAAGGAGGAAGCGATGGGGAAGACAAGGTACTCGACTCCGCGCGTGTCCTAATATGGTGAGTCTTCTCCTCTCCTCTGTCCACACAGCCCAAGATGACACTCACTTCTGCAGAAGCCGGGGACGTGAACTCTCAGATCTCACAGTCAACAAACAACACTATCACTGCTGAGTCACATGTTTATTGCCCTATCCTGGGGCTTCTGGCAGCCCAATTCTCCTGAAACAGCCTTTCTTAGATGAACCCACTCTTTCAACATGGGCAGGTCCACACCAAGTATGCTGAAGCTTCAAAAAGTTCATGGAAAATGAAATTAAAAGATGCATTTCTTTCAATGCAAAAATGTTGAAACTCATGCAGTCACGGAGTCTTCAAACAGTTCATGGGAAATCCAAGAGAAGAAAGCATGCTTCAAAAACCTTTAAGCCCAAATAAATTTCCTTTCATTTCATTTTTTTCCGTATACTTTTTCAAGTGTCCTTGTATGCTCACCCTTCCTGGGCTTCATAAATCCCTTCCAGAACAAGACCCAAATGTCCCAAGGGCAGAAGATAGCGTGGTAACCATCAGGTACAAGGATCTCATATTTCATCACTCTTAGGTATGAAACCAGGTGCAGGCCAGATCACCATCCTTGCATTTAGTCCATAAACAGGTCTCTATTTGTGACAAAGCAGATATAATTAAAAATATATCAAATGTCTTACTTACATGTCGCATATACTATTTTCTGCTTAGGAACTTTTCAAAAAAAGGAGGCCAGTCTGGTATAACCTGTTCTTAATGAACCTGTGCTAGGTCTAAGGGACCATCCTAAGGAAGAAGCATACTTCCCTGCCCACACTGCAGGAGTCGCCGCTCAGGAGGGCTTGCTGGCTTGCACTCTGAGGTGTGTGCCACAAACTTAGAAAGCACATTCTCCCTCAAAGCGTTCTCATAAAGATCTGAAGAACAGACACATCGTAAGGCATCACGTTTCCAAGCTAGTATTTTGAAGAAAATGGCATTGATTTAGGTATGCTCACATAAGCTCTTGGTGCACGTGCCTCAAAATTAAATTCTACTATTTTATCAGTAAGAAGTCCAAGAAAGGCTCACCATATAGCTGGGCTTCGTTCTAGATCTAATTCAGGGAAGTGATTATGCACATATAAATGCTAAGTCGTCCCATGGCAAGAGTCTCCCAGAAGCTTGCAAGCTGTGAAAACACACCTCCTAAACCCTAACACCCCATCCACAATGCTGCTCCACTGTGGTGGCCCTGGACTGGAATTCCATAACCTCAAGCAGGTAAGGACTCCTTAGCACCAGCTTCTCACCTTTAAAACACAGAACGTGGAGACAGAACCTGGTGTGCAGGGCTGCTGTCGGGGTACAGCAGGCCCCAGTCCACAACACGAGAGACCGCGACATGATCAGCAGGCAGGCCAGGCAGCAGCATCGTGGTCATCTGCACTCTTTCCCGCCTCCCGTCTTCACAGCTCTCAGGAGTCCTAGTTCCGTGGCCACACAGTCAGCAAGCAACAAAAGCCATGAAAATTATTATCTTTGCTGTGTGGCTTACGGGAAGGCCAGAATTCCCCTGAAGTCACCTTTCTCTCTCTCTCGCACCTGCTCAACTGAAAAAAGCCCGAGCCACAGGTCAAGCCAGGAGCCCCTTCTTTGGCAGGACTAAAGCCAGAGCTGCTCTGAACCAATCCACTAGGGACTCATGGTCCTTCACCCAAGACCCACTGACAATGGAGATACACCACAAACAGGGAATACTGAGGGGCTCGGAAAGCCGGGGGAAAGGAGAGGAGAAAGCCCCATCATCCAGGGCCCCAGGGAGACAATAGCGGGCAAAAACAATCGAGGTGAAAACGTTGGGCACGCACAACTTTTGTTTCCCCAGAAGGCAGGGCCCAGGCCTGGCAGGGAGGCTGTGGCCGGCTCCTGGCTACCAGGGTGCTTTTCTGTCTTGACAATTCACTTCCTCAACAGGCACGCCGCCAACTCAAATGAGACTCTGAGCAGTGAAAAGCCCTTCAGGTAAACAGTGTGATAAGCTAAACTGAAAAACTAGACAATGTTTTTGGACTAGGAGGTGGTTGCCATGGAGACGGTTGCTAATTAACTGCTTTCAACCAGGAGAACAAAGGGCTCGGGGCAGGCAGGCCTCTGTGTCTCCGGAGTGAGCAATGCTCAAGCCTTGCGCAATCGGCACATCGCTCATAGCTGGAATACCTGAGACTCTGCTGCATGCCTGGAGAAAGGACAAAAGTGCATTTTCTTCATCTTGACCTGGATTCACAGCACCTGGTCACCAGCCCCTCTCAGGAAAGCAAGCAGCACAGCAGAATGCAGAGGCCCAGAACCAACCTCCCACCTGCCCGCAGGCAGGCACTCCCTAGACGGTCTCTTCTCCTGGGCGAGTGGTCTGGGAAGAAGCATACATGTTACCTGATGCACTTCACTGAAGAAAACAAAATTAAACCCATAAGTACAAGGAGAATAAAGGGCTCAATCTTCCCTTCTATCATGCTCTTCTTCCTCAGTGACTGGGTATTTCTCAAAGGCAAAACCACAAAATCCCGTATCTCTAAGCCTCACACATCACAGACGTTTAGTGCACGATCATGAACTCAGCTGCAATCCGACTTGTTCCTGGCGTGCTCCCTCCAGCCCCACCCCAAGGCGACCTGGCTGGTTCAAACGTGGACTCCTTCTTGGAGTCTTAGTGGTGCCCCAAGACTGAGCCGCTCTGCTCTGAAGGGCTGACCTTTGAGCCGGGCCCGGTGAAAGCTGCAGATCTCTATTCCCAAAGCAGATGCTCAAACCCAAGCGTGAAATGTGAACAGGACTCAGCATCATTAGCTCTGGTGACCCAGGAGTCTTGGGAGAACTCCATCTTACTCCACAGCAACTCCAGAGTGCCCACGCCAGTCTGCAGCCTGATTTCAGGTTACATCAACCGTAACTACGAGAAGTAAAGGTCAAACCCAGCCAGGCTCTCGTGCGGGAAGTTCTGCCTCCCCCTGACAAAACCACACAATTTCTTGTACTCCTAAGAATCTCTACCACCGAATGCAGCCTGTGAGCAATCACCTTCGGTACTGGCGGCAGGGTTTAGATTGAGTAGAGTATGATCCTGACTAAAATATGACAATATGATTCTCAGCCTGACAGCGTGGTGACGGTACTCACACCCCTGTCCAGGAAAGCTTCATGGTCTCCCAGCATCAGTGCAATCCACCCTAGAGCATGGCCCAGGCATGCCCAGGCTCAATCCACAGCTCTAAGTTGGCATTGCACCTGCTGCACAAGACCAGCAGCGCCTTTGAGCTGTGGCTCTCACATACGCAGAGTAAGGGGACTGACACCTCTGAGTACTGAGACCTCACAGTTACTCAGGTAACCCAGTGAAGCGCCCACTCCACTCCCTAGCTCATAGTATGCACTCAGGAGATGGTAGCTATTAATTAAAGCCTCTGATGATTTACATTTCTTTTTTTATAATATTAATATTTTTAAAGATTTATTTTATTTATTTGACAGACAGAGTTACAGAAAGAGGTAGACACACACAGAGAGGTCTTCCATCTGCTGGTTCACTCCTCAAATCCCTCCCCTCCTCCATCCACATGCCCAACCCTCCCTCCCTTCATCCATCCACTCATACATCCTCCCCTCCACTCATCCATTCGTCCATCTGTCCATCTTTCCATCCAACCATCTTTCCCACCCTCTCTCCTCCATCCACTCATACATACATCTGACCATCAGTCTGTGCATCAACCCACTCATCCATCCCTCTCTGCCTCCCTTCCTCTCTCCATCCATTCCCCTACCCATCCCTCCATCCCTCCATTCATCTCCCCTCCTTCACGTCATCTACCCATCCACTAATCCATTCATCCATCCATCCATTCATGCATCCTTCCACCTAACTACCCCTTTCTCTCTCCCTCCCTCCACCCACTCATCTGTCCATTTGTCCATCAGCCATCCACTCATCCACCCGCCCATTTATCAAGCCAGTCAGCTGAATTTATCCACACGGGAATTCTATGCCAGGCACAGGGCTGATGTTAAGAAAACAAAAATATAACCTACGCCATTCACAGGGGTTCCTGGGCCAGAGCAGGATGAAGAAACACACAGGACACTTAGGAATCTCTGAGATTAGCCTTGTGCCGGCACTAGAGGGCAGAGATGGGAGAGGGAAGACATGCCTCACCACAGCATACCCCCACTGAGAGGCACACTGACACCCCAGAGGACAAAACCACTTTGCCCAAGGGCCTTTTTCCTTTCCGTCCCCTTCTATATGCTAAGCATGGGGGCCCAGGGGAACCTCCTGCTAGAAAAACAAAGGAGGGAGAAAGAGAAGAGGAAGTCAAAGAAGATCCCCTGAAAGACACCCGGCTCCACTGCTTGCCCTCTTGCTTCCCATCACTTACAGCCCTCTGGGCCTATCTCTAGCCTAACAGGAACTCTCACTGTGATTCCTGTCGGTCTGTCCATGGGGCAGGACCCAAGAGCTGAAACCTTATCTAATTTGTCTTTCTGTCTGGAGCACCGACCATGGTGCCCAGCACACTGCTGCTTGATAAAAGCTCGCCACAGCATATAAAGCTGAGGTCTAGGAGCTTTCTGTGATTTACCCAAGACCCCAAAACTAAGGGGTGCACCAGACTGGACCCCAGAGCTCTGACCCCATCCCCCTGCACAGGGTGACTGCATTTGGCCCCCAGAGGAGTTACTCAGCGTTTACGGTACAGGAGGGAATCATCTCCAGACAGAGTTTCCTGATGCCACAGTTGGGCTCTCCAACTTTCACTCCTCCTTCAAACCTTCTCTCACCCACTCTGTAAGCCCATGCAGGCAGAAGCAAGGACATACCCTTTTAGAAACTATATTTAATTATCACCATCATGCACTTTTCCTCCAGGACTTTACTGAGTCCAAAAATACCAAGACAACCTTACAAAACTGACTTTTTCATAACTTTTGTGATCAAAGAAAAGTAGGGGAAAAAATTCCTTGTGGCATCTGATAATCCTCTCTTCCATCATATAAGCCTAGGACAGAGATTCAGTAACTATCATTTTGATCCAAGCTAGGAAAGCAAAGAACATCAAGAGAAATAAACTGAGGCTCTAGGACTTTGCTTCAAATTCCAAAGTATAAATCAAAAGAAGGACACACAAGGGCCGGTGCTGTGGCGTAGCAGGTAAAACCGCCACCTGCAGTGCCAGTGTCCCATAGGGGCACCAGTTCAGGATTTGGCTACTCCACTTCTGATCCAGCTCTCTGTTAGGGCCTGAGAAAGCAGTAGAAGATGGCCCAAGTGCTCAGGCCCCTGCACCCATGTGGGAGATTTTCAGATTGGTCCAGCTCCAGCTGTTGTGGCTATTTGGAGAGTGAGCCAGCAGATGGAAGATCTCTCTCTCTGCCTCTGCCTCTCTGTAACTCTGTCTTTAAAAAAATAAAATTAAAAATAAAAAAATCTTAAAAAAAAAGTAGGACATGAGTTCAGTCTCTCTTTTTTTAAAGATTCATTTTTATTTATTTGAAAGTCACAGTTACACAGAGAGAGGAGAGGCCGAGGGAGACAAGTCTTCCATCCAATGGTTCACTCCCCAGATGGCCGCAACGGCCAGAGCTGCGCTGACCCAAAGCCAGGAGCCAGGAGCTTCTTCTGGGTCTCCCCCACGGGTGCAGGGGCCCAAGGACTTAGGCCACCTTCTACTGCTTTCCCAGGCCATAGCAGAGAGCTGGACAGGAAGAGGAACAGCCAGGACTAGAACCGGCCCATATGGGATGCCGGCGCTTCAGGCCAGGGCGTTAACCCACTGAGCCACAGCACCAGCCCCAATGAGTTCAGTCTCTTAACCTCCCTAAGCCACTTACTTATTGTTAAACAGAAATAAACAATAATACTTCTTACCAGAGTTAGTAGACTAAGGTAGATAACATCTGAAAAGGCAATTATAAACTGTAAAGCACTATAGGAGATTTTCTTAGAATAGGTGTTAAAATGCATACACCACACCACACACACACACACACACACACACTGCCAATCCGAGAGCATAGCCAGGACCATTACAAAGAATCAGAATGATCTGTGGCTATAGAAGCCACAGAACTAGAGATGATTGGGAACAACAGATATTTTGTTATTTGAGTAAATATTAGAGGCAAAAAAATTACAAAAAAGTAGTTGCTAAGATTCTTTTCTGCTCAGATTCTTCATCTGTGGAATGGGGAGAATGAGAGGAGAGTACTTACTTCTCAGACTTGATGTGCAATTTAAATTAGTATTTGTAAAGCACTAGCACATTCCTTAATCTGACAGGTAAGCAGGGAGGTAAACAAGTCAACAGAAGATACACACATAGCCTCATGTTTCTATCACATCTTTGCAATCAGACTCCACAGTGAACTTCCCAATCAAGTCCATGCAGCAGGAAGCCCAGCAGGTCAGCTCAAGCATCACCAAGCACACCAGTCTTTCCATTTCTACTGGGTACCAGCAAGCAGGATGCTGGGGGGGAAGGAGGAAACCAAAGGCAAATGAATTCATGAACTGATCCTAGATGGGCACCGCTTCCCTCCTACATGGGACAGCAATGCCTTGACACATCCAGCATTAATCATCACCTCCACAGAACTCATGTTCCTTTCATGGAAACACAGCATTCAGAGTTTTACAGCATTTGTACCAAAGAAGGAGAGACAAGGGCTGACTTGGTGCCAAACTCAACTGTAAATACAAGGTGTTTTTTTCCATTGGCAATCTCAGACCAGAACTCTATTTTTGGCACGCACATCACAAGGCATTCTTGGCTCACATATTTGAGTAAATATACCCACCATGATTCCTTGTGTTCATTCCCTGTATTCACCCCATTATGTATAGAGCAGAATCTGTGGTGAGATGTGAGGGGACAGAAACCAAATCCCAGACCTGGAATAAGACAGTTTAACACCAACTGGAGTCTGGTGGGAGATTTCAATCTAGCTGGGGAAATAGGACACTGGCAAACTACACATCAGAAATAAATGTAGCAAAAGATTAAGTGATTTGGCCGATGCCGCGGCTCACTTGGCTAATCCTCTGCCTGCGGTGCCAACACTCTGGGTTCTAGTCCCATTTGGGGCGCCGGTTCTGTCCCAGTTGCTCCTCTTCCAGTCCAGCTCTCTGCTGTGGCCCGGGAAGGCAGTGGAGGATGGCCCAAGTGCTTGGGCCCTGCACCCGCATGGGAGACCGGGAGGAAGCACCTGGCTCCTGGCTTTGGATCGGCACAGCACGCCGGCCGCAGCGGCCATTTGGGGGGTGAACCAACAGAAAGAAAGACCTTTCTCTCTCTCTCTCTCACTGTCTGACTCTGCCTGTCAAAAAAAAAAAAAAAAAAAGAGTAAGTGACTTAATGAAAAGGTGTTAGAAAAGAAGAGTACTTTCTGAGTCAGAGAGAAAGAGAGACAAGAGGAACCAGGAGTCTCCAAAAACAAGCAAAGTATGGGTCAGCTGGAAGATGTAGCTATTCACCTATCAACAGTCAGCAAACTCTCATAGGCGTTTTTACACTATTGTTTATTTATTTATTTGAGAGAAAAAGCACTCCCCCATCTGCTTGTTCACTCTCCAAAGGTCCACCACAGCTGGGACCAATTGGGGCAGAAGTTGGGAGCCATGCACTAATCCAGGCCTCCATGTGGGAAGAAGGAACCCAATCAGTTGAGTCTTCACCTGCTGCCTCCCAGGGTCTACTGTAGCAGGACACTGGATCTTAGATATGGGACATGGGCATCTTAGCTGACATTTTAACTGCCAGGCTATGTGCCCGCCCCTCACAGGCCAGTCACATAGTGTAGGTACAGAAGGCAAGTGTGAGGAAAGACTAGGCTACCAGCACAGCAGAAGATGAAAATGCAAATGTAGGGGCTGGCATTGTGGTGTAGCCATATGGATGCTGGTTCCCGTCCTGAGTGTTCCATTTCCGATCCAGCTCCCTGCTAATGGCCTGGTAAAGGCAGAAGTGCTTGGGCCCCTGACCCTCATGTGGGAGACCCAGTGGATGAAGCTCCTGGCTCCTGGTTTTGGTCTGGCCCAGCCTGGGCCTTTGTGACCATCTGGGGAGTGAAACAGTGGATACAATATCTTTCTCTGTCTCTCCCCTTCTCTCTCTGTAACTCTTTCAAATAAATTAACAAATTTTTTTAAAAGTGCAAATGTAGGGAGAGTTTACTTTTTTTATTCTTTTTTTTTTTTTTTTCAGAATTATTTTATTTCTTCGAAAGACAGAGTTACAGAGATTGGTAGAGTCAGAGAGAGGTCTTCTGTCTGATGGTTCACTCCCCAAATAACCGCAACGGCCAGAGCTGAGCTAGTCTGAAGCCAGGAGCCAGGAGCTTCTTCCTGGTCTCCAACATGGGTGCAGGGGCCCAAGGACTTGGGCCATCTTCTACTGCCTTCCCAGGCCATAGCAGAGAGCTGGATCGGAAAAGGAGCAGCCAGGACTCAAACTGGTGCCCATATGGGATGCTGGCGCTTCAGGCTGGGGCTTTAACCCACTGCGCCACAGCACCAGCCCTGGGAGAGTTTACTTTTTATGCAAAGGACTCCAGGATGAACAGAGTAATTTTAATTCTCACTGCAAGGATAAGCATGCCTTCAGCTATCAGATGATCAGGATTTAGATAATGGGAATATTAAGTAAAGAAACAAACATAACAAAGATGCCCCAAAGGGAAACAGAAGAGTCAGTATAACAGGCTGAAACCTAGACAAGGGGCTTTGAGAAATGGTAGATGAAATACAGTACCACTCAAAAAAGGAAGCCAGAAGTGTCAGCACTGTGGTGTGGCGGGTGGAGCCACCACCTGCAGTGCCGGTGTCCTGTGTGGGCACTGGTTCAGATCCCAGCTGCTCCACTTCCCATCTAGCTCTCTGCTATGACCTGGGAGAGCACTGGAAGACGGCCCAAGTCCTCAGGCCCCTGCACCTGTGTGGGAGACCTGGAAGAACCTCCAGGCTCCTGGCTCTGGATCAGCCCAGCTTCGGCCGTTGCAGCCATTTGGGGAGTAAGCCAGCAGAAAGAGGACCTCTCTGTAACTCTGCCTTTCAAATAAATAAATAAATCTTAAAAAGAAAAAGAGAAGGGTAGAGAGAGAGAAAGAGAGAGAGAGAGACAGAAAGAAACAAGAGGCTAGTGAGTTCCTTTTTAAATGTATGGAGGGGGCCGGTACTGTGGCATAGCAGTAAAGCTGCTGCCTGAAGTTCTGGCATCCCAAATGGGTGCTGGTTCGAGTTTTGGCTGCTCCACTTCCAATTCAGCTCTCTGCTATGGCCTGCGAAAGCAGTAAAAGATGGCCCAAGTCCTTGGGCCCTTGCACCTGCATGGGAGGCCTGAAAGAAGCTCCTGGCTCCTGGCTTCAGATTGGCCCAGCTCCGGCCGTTGCAGCCATTTGGGGAGTGAACGAGCAGATGGAAGACTTCTCCCTCTCTCTCTCTCTGCCTCTCTGTAACTCTGCCTTTCAAATAAATACATAAATCTTAAATGTATGGAGTGTTTGGCTGATTCATCTGGAAGAGAAGTGGTGGTAGTCCTTCCTAAGCTCAGGACAGAACTGGCAGGGTGGAGGGAATTCCTGGAAAGAGAAGAAAACCTTAAAGAGGACCACTGTTCATGAGGTCGGTGAGAAATGGTAGAGAAAGCAACCCAGATACAAGGACTGGATCAGGAAGTCCAAGGGAGAAGAGACTTTCAAGATGAGGGCAGGTGGCACACCAGAAGTACAAAACGCCACATAAAAATCCAGGAGATCGAGTGTATATTTAAGATATGCACATCCCCTACTGAAGTATGTGGGTCTGAATCCCAGCTCTGGCTTCTGACTCCAGCTTCCTGCTAATTCAGATGCCAGGAGGCAGAAATGACAGCTCAAGTAACCAGGTCCCTGCCATCTAAGTGGGAAACCTGGATGGAATTCCAGGCTTCTCGCTTCACCTCCCGCCATCAGCTGAGCTGTCGTGTGTTTTTGGGGGAGTCGACCTGCAGTCCGAAGCACGTGCTCTTTCCCTCAAATAATTGTTTCTAAAGACCAGAAGTCCAGGAATGAGTAAAGGACACTAAGTCTGACGACTGAACACAGGCTAAATCAAGACCTCAGACTGAAATGAGCTCCCTTCCCTCACTATATTTTACAAAGAGGAAAGAGGAGCTAACAAGAGAAGGTTGAAGGGACAGAGTTTGAGGGAAAGGCAGGGCAAGCTGGTCTGAACATGGTCACCTTCCTGCTTCAAGTCTGTTTTGGGGAAGGCTTAGAAGCTAAAACTTCACCCTCCAGTTCCTGCCCCACCAAAGCAACACTACAGCAGCAATTACACCTAAGGCTCACACTTGACTCTCAACCTTCCAACAACGCCTCCAGGCTCCCTGATGGAACAAGCAAGCTCATGCGGTCCTCTCTCCTGCAACTCTCCCTTACACCCCGAAGTAAGACAAGGGCTTCTCCGTGAATGATATATTCCAGGGAGAACCACCGCCCTGGCTTTCTATGGGTTTCACTCTCCAGCTGAATCCAACAAACCCCAGTGCTTGCTCTGTGCTACCTCCTCATCACCCTTCCTGTCCCCTGAAAGCTCCCAGGCTGGATAAACGAGCTGCTTGAGATAAAGGCAGAAGACAAAGACAGTGAGGGCCTCTTGCTCACATTCTGCCTTCCCTGAAACAGATACCCACCCCCAGCCCTGCGCTCCTGTGGAATAACAAGAGCCTGTGCAGATGGAATTCCCAACCCCGGTCCTGCAGAGTCTGGACGCTCCCTCCAGAACAGAGCACTTCCAGCCCCAGGTGGCTCTCCACTCACACTGTGCACCTACATGGCCTGGGCAGCTGTAACACGATACAAATGCCACTGCCTCACCAGGGCTCAGAGTCGACCATCTTGGGGTACAGCTGCTGCTGTTTTTTTTGTGTGTGTGAAAACTTCTCAAGCAAACCTAATGTGCAATCAGGGTCAAGTGCATGTCCCTGAGTCATACACCTCATCAACTTCAGTGGGTGTCCAAACCACCTGTGGGTCTTGTTAATGCAAGTCCTGATTCAACAGGGCTGTGGCTGGGCCTGCAGATCTGCATTTGAGAACAGAGACCACAGATGTCTGCTGTTCAAAGGCACCCCGTTAGTGCTCATTTGTTATGGCAACCCTAGAAAGACAATACAATAAGGCCTAACATCTCCCTTGCTGGGCAGCTATGAGACTAGTCAGGCTGCAGGTGAAGGTGCCAGCCCCACTGGGCAGGAAGAATGCATTTCCTTTCCTTGTCACAGGTACCAAAGGGGAAAAGTAACTGCTTGGAGATGTGTCCAGGCACCTGGCCTCTCAGGGGGTGCTCACAGGCTGCAGGTCCATTATGTGTACACTCACTGCTGGGTGCTCCCACTGGGCTGCAGGAGCGGCTCTGCTCCGTCAGGAGTAAGAACAATTTCAAGCCTAGCTAGGCCCCTGGGATCCACTCCGGCCCTGCAGGTTCTGAGAGGCTGGCCACAGGCCACTAAGTGGCAGAACCAAATGTCAAGGCTCACAGGCCCTCCAGGAGAGGAATAATCAGCACCATCATTTTAATCCTGGCCCCAACCCAGACAAGGCCTGTCACAAGTCCCAAACAGAGGATCCCAAGCCCAAATCCTGCAGGACATGCCAAACCACCAATCCTGTGAAGCAAACCCTTTAGCTTGATAGACACGTGTGTGTGTGTGTGTGTGTGTGTGTGTGTAGGTAACATACAGAGAACGCTTACATATCTACTGTCACTCTTCAGGATGCACTACTCTTGTTTAAGCTGCTGCACTAGGCCCCATTCATTAAGTCACTGGATAAATGCAAAGGAAAGACTATGTGCATGAGGATACTGACATGAATAAGGTACAGACAAGACATGGAGAAACTTAGGATCGATGTGCAGAGAAAAACTCATCATCAGCATTTATTGGTGCTCAGGACATGCACGTGGATCACAGCAAACCTAGCAAACAAGTGTGCAAGGTCACAGAGTTGACAAGGAGAAGACAGAAGGTGTCCAAGTCCTGCTCCCCTCCCGCTCCCCCACACTAGTCCCCATCAGATCTGGCCAAAGCAAGCAAAGCTGAATTTGGGTACGGGATAGATGAAAGTCAAGGTCATTTTACACCAGGGATTCCACTGCGCTCTCTAGTCTTGCTCAGAACCATGCACTTCACGTACATTTTCCAGGAAATGTGGCACCCACGCCTCTCTCAGGGATCAAAGGCTTCTGAGCAGCTAAGTGAAACCACCATGAGAGAGTGAGTTCCAGAGCCCCAGCACTCGGCTTCACGACGGACGCCACGCGGGACAGCTCTCCCGTCCGCCACGTGCCCTTTCCCCAACTCCTTACCTCACCACATCAGCTGGCATCTAACACGTTTTCCTTAAAAAGATGAAAAAGGAGTGAAATGCCAAACTGGATGTCTCCACAACATATATGAAAAAGGTCAAAGTCTTACAAACGAGTAAGACATGCAATAAAGGGGAACTGGAGCAAAACCCTAAACACAGAACACAGGATGGAAATACAAATACATATGTAGTTAACATACACACCATAATCAGAAATGCAAATGAAATCAACAGCAAGACATTTTCTATCTATCAGAACAGCAAAGACACTTGAAAACTTAAATACTCAGCACTGACCACAGTTGGGGAAAATAAGCATTCTCACTACTTTCTCATTACTTTTTAGTAGACTGGATACTGGTAATTTGGCAATGTTACCAGAGCACTTAAAGAAAATAACCTACCCTTTAACTGTGCTTTTCCACTTCTTGAATAATCAGGCATGTCACTCAAGAGCATTCACTACACTAACTTGTAGAAGAGAAAACCTATTTGGCTCAAAAATAGGCAACAGGTTGGACAGAGTACACAAATACATACTTTTTGGCAATTTTTAAAAACAACCACAGATTTTCAATGATGTGCAAAAATCGAGATTATGATCCCAATGTTCAACTGCATAAAAAGATGCACAGATATAGAAAAATAACATTTCTAAAAAAATTAAGTTGATTAATTTCAAATAATGGGGAATTTTATTTATATTTTCTGCTTTTCAATTTTTCTAATGCTATCATAAGAAAAACAATAAATGTGTGCTTTAAATCCAGATACTTTCCAATTACAATTATCACTGTAAGAGCAGCATTTATATACAAGATGATGCAACTTTAAAAAAAATATTTATTTACTTATTTGAAAGAGTTACAGAGAGATAGATCATTCATCTGTTGGTTCATTCCCCCAGATAGCTGCAACAGCCAGGTCTGAGCCAGGCCGCAGCCAGGAGCCAGAAGCTTCATCCAGGTTTCCCAAACTCGGCTCATCTTCCACTGTTTTTCTCAGGCCATCTGCAGGGAGCTGGGTTGAAACTGGAACAGCCAGGATGGAACTAATATTTATGGAACATTTACTGGCACTGTATTGGATGCTTAGGCATGCATCTCAGTTAACCCTCGCAGCAGCCTCACTATTTTAAGACTGAAAAGAACTGGCCAGAAAAAAAGGCAGCCCATGCAGACGCAGACCCAACATTCTGAAAGTTCGACTTCTTACAGGGTAGGGCGGCAGAACCCTTCCGACAAGTCCGTGTTGAAGTGTAGTGAGCACAGCACCAACAGGAACCAAACCAGGCTTACACTGAATAAGTCCAACTGACAGCAGCAAGTTTTCAGGCCCAGATTTCTCACTCTTCCCTGAGGTCCTCCCAGTCTGCATCATCTCAGGGCTCAATGACTGGTGGCTGCAGGCAGAAACGCCCCTGGGCAGGGAGAGGTAGGACTTACCTAGCAAACAGCCTGATAGAGATCTTCTCCCAAACATTCACTTTCCACCCATTTCTACACTCACCAGACAACTTTCTAATCAGGGAGGTGATCTCCAGGCACCTGAAGGAGTGCCTGAGGCACATGCCCAGGGCCCCTGGCCTTCTAAGTGCCCATCTATCTCTAGGTTTCACATTCTGCTTTGGCATTCCTGCTAGTCCTAGGTGTCTTGGGGTCAGCCATTATATGCTGTGGTTCATTCAGAAGTTTTGGCTTAACTTCTTTTACAAATCAACAGCACTACTTCCCCTGTGCTGTTCTGCCTCCCTACAGTCATCTAGTTTTCTTCTCTCTCTTATAAAGGAAGCATATTCTTCTGCTCTCTTACAATTTTCTGACAGAAAGAACTTAGATCTCAAAAACAAGACAATACTCTATTAAGGACCTCGCTTAAATTGACCCCCATCTTACTCAGGAGGCCCTGCCCTTGAGGCTAATACTCACTTCTGTGGGGAGCAATCCGGACTGGACTAAGTTACTGGAATTAAGACTTATTCTATGCATCTGCTCTCCCACAATATGGCGCTGGGAGAGAAGTAAACAGCTTCTACACAGCTGCCTCCAGTTCAGCTAATAAACTGTAGGACTTGTTCCTGATTGGAGGAGAGCAGCGTACTCGGCGTGTGGGCAGCCGAGTTAGGATTGGCAGAGGAGGACTATAAAGGAGGAGAGAGACGGCATGCACCAGGAACATCTAAGGGGAACATCTAAGGGAACCCCTGTGCAGCCCCCGAGAAAGCCGGCCGGCGGTGTGCTGCTCTCCTGCGGAAGTGGGGAATGTGGCCAGGGGGAACTGCCCTTCCACGGAGGTGGAAGGGATAGTAGCCAACCCGGGAAGAACCAACAGCAAACCCGGGGAGGGCCGAGCAGACGAAAGAACAGCGCAGGGTCCTGTGTCGTTCCTCCACGAAGAGGGGGAGCGACAACTGCCTTAGGCATTGCAGACACATCCAAGAGCTGCACCCCTACACCTGCCACAGCCCCTGGCCACCACCGCCACAGGCTGCAGCCAGGAAAGACTGCTGATCAGGTAGCTTAGTCTTCAGAAATCTCTGTAAGGAGGCCCTGCCCACCCCCAAACTAGCAAGGCTCTTATCAGTGCTTTCTAGAGATAACTCAAGGCTGCTGGAATCTTCCAGCCACTGGGAACACATCTACAAAAGCCTGAAGTATAGAGAGCAACTCACAGCATAATAAGGAGTCCTCCCAGGCTGATTACGAGGAATGCTGAAGACCAAATTCTGGGAGACACCAGATGGCTGTTAGTGAGTAAAGATGCCCCTAAGACTCCCTGAATTTGTGTTCTTGAACATACGCCGAACTCAGGCCATTCTCTAGTTATATGTGAGGGAAGCCAAAAGCTTCACACTTCCTGGGTATGTACTCTGTGTGACAGAAACAACAGCAGAGGAGCTGGAAAACTTGCTCTACAGGGTGTCCTATCATCCAGTGCATAGCACAGACCAGGACACTCGGGCGTGGCCTGTAAGAACAACGCTGCATGCCCAGATCCACAGCAGCACTGTTCTCATGGGCTGCACCCTAGGCAGACAGCTAGAAATGGACTTGCTCTGTGTACAGCATCTAAGATTTTGCCAGACTGTTCTCCAAAGACACTATGCCATTTCACCTTCCCATCAGCACACATGAGGGTTCCTTGGGTACCAACTGCCCCGCTCCCCATCCCCCACATAAACATACCCTCACCAGCATTTGTTATTGTCTGTTTTTTTTTTTTTTTCAAAGATTTATTTGTAAGACAGAATAACACAGAAAGAGGGAGTCAGTGACACACAGCAAGAGCACACGCTTCCACTCGCTGGTGCGGGGGCTAGGTCAGGCCAAAGCTAGGATCCTGGAACTCTATCCTTGTCTCCCACGTGAGCAGCAGGGACCCAAGTACTTGGGCCACATTCTGAGACCTTCCCAGAAGTGCTAGCAGGGGGAGCTGGGACTTGAACTGGCACTCCAATACAGGATGCAGGTATCATAAGCTGTACCAACAACACCTGCCCCTTGTCTGTCTCTTTTTACTGTAGTCATCTTACAGGGTATGAAGTGGCTTTAATCTGCATATCCCTAATCACTAATGATGCAGAGTAGCCATTTATGCTGGTTTGGACCATGCATATAACCTCTTTGGAGAGATGTCTACTTAAATAAATTGAAAAAGTCAGTAAAAGTTTGAATCAATAAATGAAAACCTACAAATGTTCTTCTTTTAAACTCCTGACTGTCTGAGATTAATATTGAGGATACGGAAGGAACAGAACTTGGGGAAATGCAAGGATCCTTTCTCCTTATCCCCTTTGTCTTATGAAGTTTCATAGAATCACACAAATTCTCTCTCCCCAACACAACTGAGGGATGAGGGCGCTGGCTTCCTCTGTTTCCTAAGCACCTACCAGGAGCTAAGGATATGGAGACAAAGACCCAGTTAACAGCCTTCAAAAAGTGGACCACTTATTAACAGAGGAGATACAGAGTAAGGTGTCCAAGGTCACTGAATTTGGGGGGCAGGATACACATCTTGATGAGCAAATCCAAGTATCACAGTCCCCTCCAGCTGGGAGAAAACCCTCTGATCTTACTCTGGAGAAAGGCCCCCTGATAAGCAGGTGGCAGGCACTCTAGGGCAGCAGGGCCCCCATGCTGGACCAGACACAGCAGCCACCAATGAGGGGTCAGGAGCAGCACTGCACTGCAGTCTGTCCCCTCCCAGAGAGCCCAGGGACCAGACCCCACGAAGGTAATGAGCTGAAACCTGTAGCACGCACACTGCCTCTGCTTAGGCGGGAAGCTGTCACCAGGCAGTGACAGATTTAAATAGCAGAGAAGCAGCTCAGGCAGCCCTGGCCTGACAGAGGCTGCAAAGCAGCTGGAGGCTGCAGCCCCCCACTGGGTGTGTCTGCTCGGCTGAGCCTGTTGGGCAGGGCCCAGGCTGCAGGGCAGTGTCTGTGCACCAGCTGAGACCCAGGCAGGCCCAACTCCAGGCAATGCCTCCACCAGCCCAGCTGAGCCCACAGAGTCAATCCAACAGGGCTTGCACATGCCATGTGCTCTTCTCCACACATATCTGAGCGGCCCAGGAGACTCTCAGCTTGTGTCTGTTGATGCTAATTACCAGCCTCCTGGAGGGAGAAGCGGGTACACAGGCACAGGCACAGGGCTCGGGGTTCCACCTGCTGCTCACTCTGAGCCAAATGCTCTCCTTTCTACTCCCTATCTCTCAAGGCATTCAAAAAGTACGGGGTGTACCCCTAAAACAAACTTGGGTGCCCTCAGAAATCATTAGCTAACACAGTGACAGAGTCTTGGTTAGGAAATAATAAAAGTATGCCCACTGGAATGGTACTAGCCATCATGACCTGGGAGCTGATGTGTGCCAGGTGCAGTCTAATGGGTGGATATGAGCAACCTCATCAACCAACACAACCCACCCTCAGGGTAGGTTTTATTACCCACATTTTACAGAGCAGAAAGAAAGCTTAGAGAAACCAAGTAGTTCAGCTAGAGGCGCTGGTGCCAGATGCCTCTCACCCTGCAGTGACCGTACTTCTACCTTGTAACTCTAACCTGAGATGACAACCATCTCAACTCACTGGAGGAGGAGGGCTGACTCACTGACGTCGGCTTGAACTCAGTTTTCATCTCTACTTTAGAAAACAGACTAAAATCACTAGTCTAGAATAGATTTCGGTTAAAACGCCCTCCTTTTTAAATGACATAATGGACACGTCTGTCAGCACACATTGCTTCATTTCATGCATCACCCCCGCAGTCCGTGTTCTCAGTGTCCAGGCTATGATGTGGTGCTTCAAAAAATCGGCTTCAGATAGTCTTCAGAATTTGGTAAAACAGTTTGTTTTCACACCTGGAATGTGCACACCACACATTGTATTTAAGTGTTTCATTTCTGCATCTTCTCAGGTAAATTCTGTGGATATATCAAAAAGGTAACCATTTTACTATTACTTCCTAAATTACTATCTCTAACTATCTCAAAGATACTTGGAAAATATTTGCCACTCCTGCTAAATTGCAATTTTCATCATCAAAATTGGTTGAGATTTAAAAATTATTTTATTTACTTTTATTTACTTAAAAGCCAAGCTATTGTATTCTCAGTATTTTTCTCCAAAAAATAAAATTACTAGGGTGCTTCATAAAGTTCATGAAGGGGCTGGCATTGTGGCACAGAGGGTGAAGACACTGCTTGCAACAAAGATATTCAGTGTCACAGCACCAGTTCAAGTCTCAGCTGCTCAGTTTCCGATCCAGCTACCTGTTAATGCACCTGGTAAAGCGGTGGAAGATGGGCCAAGTACTTGGGCCCCTGCCACCCATGTGGGAAATCTGGACGGAATTCCTGGCTTCTGGTTATGGCATGACCCAGCTCTGGCTGTTAATAGCCATTTGGGGAGTGAAGCAGCAGATGGAACATCTCTCTCTCTCTGCCTTTCAAATAAAGAAGTAAACAAATAAATAAATCTTTTTTGTAAGTTTATGCAAAATGGAATTAAAAGAAGTTCATTTTGATAGGAAAAAATCTGAATTGCATATATTTTCACAGCACACATTTTCAAAGCACTTCATGAAGATCCCCCGTATTTTAGAAAACGCAATGCATACATTCCTCAGTTGCTTTCGTCTTTACTGTACATGTGCAACACATGAGCTTTTTCTGTTGCGCTTTTTCAGTCAGACTGCTAGCCAGGGAGAGCAGAGAAAGCTCTTTACTACAGAGACGTACTCTCCTTCCCTCTCAAGGATAACAAAGCAGCCCAGGTTTCCAAGCTCATCTGCTCTTGAAAAGCTGAAACGGATATTAATTCATCTTCCTTCAACACCACCACCACCACCACCGACAACAAGATGTATTTTTACTCAACGATCATTTCAGAAGGCTGAAATTCCAGATATGTGACAGCCAGTAAGTCTCAAAAGCTCACTAGGAAACAAAGGAGTTGTCATTTAACCTAGGCACATCACACAGCAGTTGGCCAAAATGGAGATAACGCCACCAAACCCCTATCCTCCCCTGCTGGATCACTTCCCTGAGCAAGAAAGCAGTAAGGGAGGAAGCCAAAGGTCCTGCAAGGCGCTGCTGTGTCCCGTGGCAGTGTCCTTTATTTCCAGTGACATGCACATCTCAAATCCCATTGCCCCTGCAACCGTATGCAATTGTCCCACCAAGGACAGCATGGGCGGGGTGGGGAGCCAGGATTCAGGGTTGTTTTCAGTCTTTCTCCACCCAGCAGCCAGCCAGGGCCTCTTTAAAAACTTATCAGAGGTAGGCATTTCGCTTAGCAGTTAAGATACCAGTTAAGATACCTGTTGTCATCCCAGGCCCTGGCTTCCATACTCAGCTCTGGCTCCTGCTATAGCTTCCTGCTAATGCAACTCCTGAGAGGCAGTGGCAATGGCTTAAGTAACCGTGTTCCTGCCACTCAAGCCAGAGACCTGGACTGAGTCCTCAGCTCCTAGGTTTTGCCTTATCTAGCTGTGGCTGCTGTGGGGCATTGGAGAAGTGAGCCAGTGGTAGGAGCTGCACTCTGACCTCGCTGCAGGCCCCTCCACTCCTTTACTCCCCTTGACGACCATGCTCCAGCCAACACCAGCCCTCAGTCATTCACCCACACCCACACACCCACACACACCCACACACAACCAAGGCATTGACATTTGTGGTGCCCTCTGCCTAGAATATGCTTAATCCCTCACCTCCTGCAGGTGTGAACGTCCTGCTACTCCCTCTATCTAACCATTTCCCCTGTTTTCCTCTTTACCACTTTCACCATCTACACATTTTATCTTCCTTATCATCCAGCACCTGCATTAGCATGGAAGATCCATGATTCAGGAACTCTCTTCTGTCCACAGCAATATACCCAGTGTGTTCAGCAGCATCCGACACATCTTGTATCAACAAATACCAGCTGAATACAAGTTGTACTGTGGGCGCCAGCACTGTGGTGTAGTGAGTAAAGCCGCTGCCTGTGGTGCTGGCGTCCTATATGGGTGCCAGTTCGAGTCCTGGCTGCTCTACTTATGATCTAGCTCTCTGCTATGGCCTGGGAAAGCAGCAGAGGATGGCCCAAGTCCTTGGGCTCCTGTACCGGCATGGGAGACCCAGAAGAAACTCCTGGCTCCTAGCTTCAGATCGGCTCAGTTCCAGCCACTGCAGCTGTCTGGGGAGTGAACCAGTGGATGGAAGACCCTTTTCTCTCTCTTTCTCTCTCTCCTCTCTCTCTCTTTGTATCTCTCCCTTTAAAATAAAAAAAAAAAAATCTTTAAAATAAAATAGTACTGTGAATTGTTATGCCATGCTCTAGAAGTAAGTAAAATCTGGTCACTCCTTATTAACTAGGGCTGCCATAAAAAATACAACTAATGCTTGGGATATGCTCAGAGAGCAGCCTTCCCTTATCGGCAGATTAGCTTTCTGCAGTTTCAGTTATCACAGTACAAGCATATTAAATGGAAAACTCAGAAACAAACTGCACACTGTGCTGAGTAGGGTGGTGAAGAACGGCACCATCCCACTCTGTCCTGCTCAGAACACCAATCATCCCTTTCTCCAGTGTATCCATGCTGTATACACCACCCACCTGTTAGTCACTTAGCAGCCGTCTCAGTCATTTAGACTGACAGGCACTGTATCCTGGTGCTTGGGTTCAAGTAACCCTTATGGGGCAGCCTAATACTGCATCCCAAAGCTAATGTCCTTCACCTCACTTCACCTCATTATGTAGGCACTGGATGATCTCACCTCATCACAAGAAGGGTGACTATATAATACCTAAGATATTTTCAGAGGACAGAGACCACACCACATAACATCTGCTATAGTAAATTGTTATAATGATTTTCTCTAGTGTTTATTTTTAATCTTTTTGTTTAAGAGGGGAAGAGATTTTCCCATCCACTGGTTCATTCTCCAGATGCTCACAATGGATAGGACTGGAGCTAGGAGCCAGGAACTTAACATGTCAGATGCAGGAACCCAACTATCTGAGCCACCTCTGCCGCCCCCCAAGACATGTACTAGCAAGAAGATGGAGTAGCAGCCAGAGCCAGGAATCACTCCTAGGCACTCCAATGTGAGACACGGGCATCTTAACTGCTAAGTTAAATGCCTGTTCCCAAATTGCTCTATTATAAGTACTGTTGTTAATCTCCTACTGTGCCTAATGTATCAATTAAACTTTATTATAGATATGTACATACAGAAAAAAGCAATGTATAGGGTTCAGTACTTTCTGCAGCTTCAGGCATCTACTTGGAACTTTACAAGTGCACACTTTGCAGATTGAATGTGCTAAAAAATTATTCTTCATCTGCAATTCAAGGTTAACTGGACATTCCATATTTTTTTCACTAAATCTGGCAACTCCACTCCTAACTCCAGGAATAGGTCACACAGGGGCGACAGAAGGCCCAGTGCCCTCCTCAGATCTTGATCTCGGAGGAGCCCTGGTGGTCTGGATTCAGTTAGCTCTGGATAAAAATGCAGGTAGGTGCGGGCTGAGAAAGTTACCAGGCAGGGCCCTGGTCTCCACCTGCTCCACTCGCAGAAAGGAGTCCCTTCCCCGCCTAGAACCCCACTTGGCCTGATCTCTGCAAAGCTCAGGTCCTCTCCCACTTCCTGCTGTGAATGCAGAAACCACACACACTGGAGAAACAGCCCAAGTGGGGTTCTGAGCTCTATGGAAGGCCACAGGTTCTCAGGGGAATATGCATCTCTTCATGATGCCGCCGGTACCAGCAGGCCAAGAGAAGGCTGGGTGGATGCCTAGGACAGACAAGAGCAATGATGACACAGGCACGCATCCACTGCAGATGAAAGCTCCTGTATGGAGGTCCTGCACAGTCAGGCACCGTGAGAGGTACACGCCCCACAGATCCTCCTAGGCTTCCCTCTCCCAGGTCTTCCAACAAGGGAGACCCCTACACACTCTGCTCCACTGACCAAACCTCATGGGACCAGGCAAGTCCTTACGTTCCTGTAAGTTCCCTAAGACATCATGCGAGTCACAAGACCTGGAGGCTACGAGGGAGGGAGGGACCCTTGATGAGGGTGGAGGTAGCAAGACCATGTGTTGCAGTCCCTAGTTTAATCCTGCTTTCCTGGTGTCATTATTAACATTGCTCTGTCTGTTCTCCCAAGTGTCTGAGTTTGGATGTTGCAACTATATGGTCCTGCAAGGCACAGCCACACTCGGAACGACCTCCATGCCCCGGAGCACAGGACCAGTGCGATGGGAGGGAACAGCCGCAGAGGAGCAGCTGTGACCAAGCTGGGCCAACTCACCCCCGGAACTGGAACCAGGCAAAGGGCAACTCTGGGCAGCAGCTTCCAATCTGAAAAGTGAGGAGGCTGCGCTGATCTCTCCAGATCCCGCCAGCTCTGAATTCTGAGAGAGCAGCTGCAAGAGTGCTCGCCTCCTCCCACCCCAGCCCCCACAGAGCACATGCAGGCCTACACGTCCCAGGCCCTGGCTCAGAAACATCCCCACATTAGGGAGCCAAATGACTGGAGTCAGGCTTTGATCAGCCGCACGGACAGGGCAGGCCCTGCTCCTCCTGACAGGTCACGCCTGTGTCTCTGGGTTTTCTCCACACAGGAGAGCAAGCTGGAGCTGATGACTCGCCAAGCTCTCCACACGCCGACATGGCTGTCAGGGCCGGGTGCTGTGGGCAGTCTGTCGCCTTTGTTCACAGCCCTGCAAGGCTGTGCCCCTCAGCTACTGGGGCGACAGTGAACAGTGTGGCAGAAGCCAAGGGTACTCAGAGAAGCTGGAAAGATAACACCACACCTCCACAGCAGACCAGTCCGAAAAGAAGGGGCTCTGTTAACACAGCCCAGGAGGCCACAGAGTGGAGCATGCCAGAACAGTCAGCACCTCCTGGAACCGACCAGAAAAGCCTCCTCACCGCAATCAACACACTGCCAAGAGACAAACTTAATGCTTGGGCACACTTCAGGACAGCAGGGGCACCTGAGTCCAGGCTCCACTGCTCCTGCATTTGGGGGGTTGGCACGTGACACATACAATGCTCCCTAAGACGCTTACACAGGCTGAGCCGGAGTCCCACACAGGGACTCTTCCTGCTTGCCCTGGTTTTCATATCTCTCTTCCTTCAACCTTCTCCCTCCTCCATACTGCCTATCTCCGACAGGCAGGTGAGCCCAGTGATTAGGCCTAGAACAAACTGCCTTTGCTGTCAGAGGGACATGAGAGAGGTCTTTGTGCTTCAGATCGGCACAGCTCTAGCCATTGTGGCCAAATGGGGAGTGAACCAGTGGATGGAAGACCTCTCTCTCTCTCTGCCTCTCCTCTCTCTGTGTAACTCTGACTTTCAAATAAATAAATAAATCTTTAAAAAAAAAAAACTTACTGGCCACTTCTAACCAGCCTGGCATGATGCTAAGCAGATACGTATGTACACCAGCTTGATTCAGCTATAATTCATACATCATAAAACTCGAGTGTATAACTCAACGGTTTGTTGCATATCCACTGAGCTTTGCAACCAGTTTCAGAACATGCCTATTTTCCCATATCCTTTATAATCATTCCTCTTTTCTCTCAAATCTCTCAGTCTCTGGTAACCACTAATCTATTCATGTCCCTATAGACTGGCCTATTTTGGGAATTCCATGGAGACAGAATCACACAATACATGGTCTTTTGTAATTATCTTCTTTATATTGGGAAAATGTTTCCGAGAGTGAATCATACTGTAGCATGCACTAGTACGTAATTTTTATTGCTAAATAATACTACCCTATATAGATATACTGTATTTTATTCACCCATGTATATGAGTTGATGGATATTTCAGTTGCTTCCACATTTTGGGCTTATGAAAAAGGACACTATAAAAGTTTCTATATAGATATCTGCTCTGATTTCTCACTATATTCCTAGGTGTCAAACTGCAGTTTTGGGGTAACTCTACATTGAACCTTTTGAAGAGCTGCCAGGCTGTTTTCCACAGTGTCTATAACCATTTTATATTCCCACAAGCAACATTATGAGGGGGTTCTCATTTCCCCTTGCCAACACTCATTATCATGTATCTTCCTTATTATAACTATCCTAGCAAATACAAAGTGGTGTCTCTCATTGTGGCTTTAATTTATATTTCCCTGATGACCAATGATTCAGAACATCTTTGGGCTTTTGATTATTTGTGTATTTCTTTGAAGAAATGTCTATTCAGATCCTTTGCCTACTTTTTAATTGGATTATTTTCCTTTTTTAATCAAGAGTGATAAAAGTTTTTAATACATTCCAGATACAAGTTGTTTATCCAATTTGTGATCAGAAAATTGTTTCTCTTATTCTCTGGGTGCCTTTTCGTTTTCTTTGAAGCACAGAAGTTTACAATGTTAATGAAGCACCATTTTATCTATTTTTATTTTCATCACTTATACTTTGGTAACATATTTAAGAAGATTTTGCCTAATCCAAGATTAGACAGATTTATTCCTGTATTTTTTTCTGCAATTGTGTAATTTGGGCTCTTACATTTACATCTGCTTTTTTTTTTTTTAGTTAATATGGCATGTCATATGAGGACTGGTCCAACTGGATTCTTTGCATATGAATATCCAGTCTCACCACCATGGCTGAAAAGACTATTATCATGGTACATTTGCTGGCAATCAATTGAGAACAAGTGTAAAACCCTCTATTCCACTGATGTACATGTTTAACTTATGCCAGTACAACACTGTCTTGATTCAGACGATGGCTTTGTATTAAGTATTGAAATCAGAAGTCCGAGTCCTCCAACTTTGCTTTTTTTTTTTTTTTTTTTTTTTTTGACAGGCAGAATGGACAGTGAGAGAGAGAGACAGAGAGAAAGGTCTTCCTTCCGTCGGTTCACGCCCTAAATGGTTGCTATGGCTGGCGTACTGCGCCGATCCAAAGCCAGGAGCCAGGTGCTTTCTCCTGGTCTCCCATGGGGTGCAGGGCCCAAGCACTTGGGCCATCCTCCTCTGCACTCCCGGGCCACAGCAGAGAGCTGGCCTGGAAGAGGGACAACCGGGACTAGAACCCGGTGTGCCGGTGCCACAGGCGGAGGATTAACCTATTGAGCTATGGTGCCAGCCTTGCTGTTCTTTATCAGATTATTTTGGCTGCTCTGGGTCCCCTGAATGTTTATATGCATTGTACAATCAGCCTGTCAAAGAATTCAGCTGGGATTTTGATAGGAATCACATTGAATCTGTAGACAACTTGGGGTTACTGCCATCTTAATTTTAAGTCTTCGAATCCAAGAACACAGAATGCTTTTCAACTAATTTACATATGTATACATTTCTTTCAACTTTCTTTTTAAATTTTGGGGATAAAATGTCTGTTTTGTTTTTGTTTTTGTTTTTGTTTTTTTTTTTTTTGACAGGCAGAGTGGACAGTGAGAGAGAGAGACAGGGAGAAAGGTCTTCCTTTGCCGTTGGTTCACCCTCCAATGGCCACCGCGGCTGGTGCACCATGGCCGGCACACCGCGCTGATCCGATGGCAGGAGCCAGGTGCTTCTCCTGGTCTCCCATGCGGGTGCAGGGCCTATGCACTTGGGTCATCCTCCACTACACTCCCGGGCCACAGCAGAGAGCGGGCCTGGAAGAGGGGCAACGGGAACTAGAACCCGGTGTGCCGGTGCCACAAGGCAGAGGATTAGCCTAGTGAGCCATGGCGCCGGCTCTGCTCTTTTCTTACATTTATTCCTTAATATATTGTTCCTTTTTTTTTAAGATTTATTTATTTACCTGAAAGTCAGAGTTACACAGAAAGAGGAGAAGCAGAGAGAGAGAGAGAGAGAGAGAGAGAGAAAGAGAAAGTCCTCCATCCGCTGGTTCACTCCACAGTTAGCCACAACAGCCAGAGCTGTGCCAATCCAAAGCCAGGAGCCAGGAGCCAGGAGCCAGGAGCTTCCTCCAGGTCTCCAACGCGGGTGCAGGGCCCAAGGACTTGAGCCATCTTCTACTGCTTTCTCAGGCCATAGCAAGAGCTGTATTGGAAGTGGAGCAGCCGGGCGTTGAACTGGCGCCCTTATGGGATGCTGGTGCTGCAGGCCAGGACTTTAACCCAGCCCCAGAACTGCTTTCTTAACTTCATTTTCAGACTGTTCATTGTCAGGTATACTAATATGATAGATTTCTAGATAATCTGTTCTTCTTTGTTGAAACCTTGCTTCAAGTGTTTATAAACTCTAACCGTTTTGTGTCTCACCTTCATTTTTGGCTATATGCTAGATCAAGTAGAGACAGTTTCTGTCCTTCCAATCTAGGTACTTTTTATTTCATTTTCTTCACCAACTGCTCCAACAAGAACATCCGGCATGTTCAACTGGAGTGAAAACAGACCTCCTTGTCTTATTCGTGATCTTGGGTGGAAAGCATCTAGTCGTTTCTCACAAGTATGATGGTACTTGTAAGTTCTTCATAAATGCCCTGTGTCCAGTGAGAAGCCACCTTCTAGTTCTACTTTGATGCATACTTGTATTATGAAGAGGTGTTTGATCAAATGCTTTCTCTGCAACTATTGAGATGTTAATATGGTTTTTGTTTTTATTCGATTGATAGTTTATTACATTAATTGATTTTCTGATGCTAAGCCAATCTTGCACAGCTGGGCTAAATCCCACTTGGTCATGGTCCAAAATCCTTTTTACATGTTGTTGGATGTGGTTTGTTAGTTTTTTGTTGAGAACTTCTACATCTATCTTCATAAGCGCCACTGGTCTACAGTTTTTGTTGCTGTTGTTTTGTTTTTTAATTTCCTTGTGACATCTTTGTCTGGTTTTGTTATCAGGGTAATACCGCTCCCAAAGAAGGAACTGTGTATGCTAAGTATTTTGAACGTGTTTTTATTTAATCCTCACACCGCACTTGTGAGATCAGCACCAGTATTAGCCCCACCTTTGAGATGAGGAAACAGAGGTCCAGGAATGTTAAGATGCCCATGATGGCACAGCCAATAAAGCAGCAGAGTCAGAATTTAAAACCAGGCAATCTCACTCCTGATCCTATGTCCTTTACCACCAGGATGAACTTATTCCTAGGAGCTAGCTGACAAACCCTCTATAAGTTGGCCAGTTTGCTAACCAGACTTTGCAGCCTGGGAACTAACCGTAACTCCACACCTTGTTCAAGTCCACAATAAGAGTTCACTTAGCTCATTGCTCCACTTAAGTGAATCATTCTGTATCAACAATGTCATCTTGGAACAATCAGTGGCAAAAGTGATTTTCAGACAATTACAACAAAATCTTCAGGCAAACATTTGGACTAGTGACACAGCCATCGGTTTAGATGTCCAAATCCGACATTGGGGTGCCTGGTTTTTTTTTTTTTTTTTAAAGATTTATTTATTTGTTTATTTATTTATTTGAAAGAGTTAGAGAGAGAGAGAGAGAGAGAGAAAGGGAGAAGTCTTCCATCCGATAGTTCACTCCCCAGATGGCCACAATGGCCGGAGCTGCGCCGATCCGAAGCCAGGAGCCAAGAGCCTCTTCCCGGTCTCCCATGTGGGTGCAGGGGCCCAAGGAATTGGGCCATCTTCCACTGCTTTCCTGAGCCATAGCAGAGTGCTAGACAGGAAGTGGAGCAGCCGGGTCTCGAACTGGCGTCCATATGGGATGCCAGCACTTCAGGCCTAAGGCGTTAACCCACTGCGCCACAGTGCTGGCCCAGGGTGCCTGGGTTTGAAACCAGTTTCTGGCTCCTGAGTCCAGCTTCCTGCTAATGAGGACCCTGGGAAGCAGCAGTGATAGCTGAAGTCACTGAGTTCCTACCACCCAAGTAGGAGACATGAACTGAGTTCCCAGCTCCAAGTCTCACCCCCATCTCTCCTCCCACCCTCCTCAACCGCTGGTAGGCATTTGAAGAGTAACAAGTGGCTACAAGTGAGTGAGCAAACTCTCTCAAGAAAATGAACAGAATCATGTACATTATTAAACAAATGAAAAGTTTTTAAGTAAAAAACTAAACCCAAGGTCAACAAGCCAAAAGCAATGTGTGTACACGCACACATTTAGAAACACCCTAAATAAGCTTCCATATACATTGTCAGGTATGTACTAGGAAGATCCTGGGGGTATGCTTTACCACTGCTAATAAACTGCCCTTGTTCACAACATCTCCGGTGTAGGGCTGCTGAGCTGAAATGGAGAAGAGTCCACATGCAAGTGGGGGGCTGCTGGTTCTTCCTTGAGGTTTGCTTTACCAGGAGATTCCCCAAAATAAGATCATCTAAGGAAGAGCATCCTGGACTCTGTGCCTATGAAATGAAAACCGCTGCCTTCATAAGAATGTTGTAAATACAACAAGAGGGTAGAATGTGGGAAAGATAACCTTCTAGAGATAAGGATGGTCCACACAATCAACGGCTTTCGCTCATCCAAACATCTTTTGCGGGACTAACATGTGCCAGGTACTATGATGGTTGCTGCAGATTCGGAGAAGCCACAATAGCTGTACTGGACGAGCTCTCTGTGGGAGTGGGGAGATGGGGACACACACAGTGACACCTGAGTCTCTTCTTTCTATAGTTATAAAGGAAAAAATGAGTCTGACAAGCACCAGTTACATAACGTGCTACAGGAACACAGAGAGGGGCCAACCTGCTCTGCCCCTGGAGATTAAGGCAGGCGTCAGAAGGGATGGGGGTTTTCTTGCAAGGTCTTGAAGGACAAGCAGGAGGCTAGAAGACAGGATGTGGAGCACCAAAGACACCAGGAAACCGGGTCCCCTTCTCCAAGGTTTACCTTGTACTGAAACCCTCTTCCATGCTGGTCCTGGGCAGCACTGGGGACACAGTTCCGGGACTCGGAGGTGCGAGTTCCAGCAGAGATCTCAGAGACAGCGGAGGGTAGTGGTTAGGAGCTCAGACTCTGGAGCCCAACAGACTGGGGTTCATATCCTGCCTCTAGCAGCTGACCAGCTGAGCGACCACTGGCAATTCACTAAACCTCTCTGGGCTGTGGTCTCCTCAACTGTAATACAAGAATGGTAATAGTAGACATTCACGAGAGTTGTAATGAGGCTTAAACAGGTCCCTGTTGTGCGTTTAGAACAGTATCGCGCACACCATAAGCACTAGGTCAACGGCTGTCACTATCGCGTCGCACCCTTCACACCACCTGCCCCGGCCCAGCTGGGTCTCACTAACACTGGCACAGCTCAAAAGGCCCCCATTACGATGCATGTGTCCAGCGCAAGAGACAAGTCCCTTCTAACAACTGCTCGTGGTTGCTGTCTAAGGACATATGGGGACTGAGAGAATGCTTCCTAGTACACGTGGTTTACGATCCAAGTAACCTAAATAGCATCTTTCATAATCAGGATCGTATCGCCACTGCCTGTTGTGTGTTGCCGTGAGACAGCAAATACAAGGGCACATCTTCGCGCAGCGACTGCAGTAACAGTTGAATAAACACGCAATCCGATACCTCACATCTGGCATGTCATCACCCCACGACCTGATTCACAGTCCAATGTGTTTCAGGCTGTGACTACTTTATAGGTACAAATGTCTTTATCAGGACATTAACGTGCACCAAACCTCTCTCAATAACAGCCACTGTAAACAGCAATCTCTTCTAAGCTGTCACGGAAGCCACCACAAAGCCATCATGCTTGCAACACACCCATTCATCTGAGACAGTCGTCAAAGCCCAACCTGACACAATAGCAAGTGAGTCACGGGGCTGCATGGGGAAGAGGGCAGGCATGGGGTGAGGGACTGAGACCTCTGCAAGGGGCTGGAAAAACTCAGCTTATTAACATATGCTAAACATCAGCCTGGGAAGCTGCTAAAACTGGAAGGCTTCAGTGCCCTCCATCACATTCTCCCCAGAGCAGCTTCTTCCCAGGCAGCCCACAGCTTCCTTGGGCTTCTGTGAAAGGAACAATGTCCTACGGAAATTCTCATCTAATGACCAGATTCACTGCCTGCAAAAAAGAAAAAACAAACAAATGCTGCAACATTTTACAAAATAAATCTTCACGTACATTGCACTAGGTTTCACAGTGGCTGTCACACCTCTCAGATGCCAGGAGGGAGAAGGGACTGCACTGTGAGAGGAAGAGGCTCTACAGGATTAATATCCATACAGGCTTTCGAGAACAACTGTGACTTTACTAAGGCTCTGCACTTGGGGTCCTTGGAGGAAGGGAAGGTGGGCAGAGAGAATAACCTGCAGGGTGTGCCTGGCAGGTGAACACGAAGCCAATGAAACACACGGTGAAGAAACACAAGGACGCTCTACCAGCAAATGCGCAGCACATGGCAAAGCCCCCTGAGTGTCTTCATCCAGTAACCACTCCTCCCCTCCCCAAAGGAAGGACAGCTACAGAAAGCAAAGTGGTCGTCAAAACAAGAGAGGCCCCATGCCCCAGGAATAAACCAGGGCCACTGTGGCGTGCAGCGCGGGTCCTGTTCGCTGTTTTGTGCTCTGAGCCCATGCGCATGGGGAGGATGGATGGGAACGTTTTCCTCTTCTCCCACCGCCGCTTCACCATGACACACGATGTCACAATAACACGCCTGTTAGTCGGGACAGCTGACTGACAGACCCAAGTGGCCAGGGCACCTGTTGGACTCCAGGACCGATGTCCTCAAGCCTATAATAAGAACGCCCTGTTCTGCTTGTCCGCCATGCAGGGCCACTCTCTGGCCACCTGTCCCCCAAGCTCAGCACCCCAGCCACCCACACAGGGAAGGAAGAACTGCTTTCCAGACCCCGCCCTCCTGCCCACGGTCGCCCTTTGGTGTGATTATCACACCACGATGGACTCAGGCAATGTGGCTTGCTTTCTAATTCCAGCCTTTTTCCACAGTTTTCTTTAATGAGTACTCCCTATCCAGAATCAGAGAGGAAAATAAACGTGATATAATTTTCCTCTTCCCTGTGATTATGAAAGTAACATATGTTCACTATTTTAAAAAATCCAATTAATACAGAAACCTGTAACAGAAAAGCAGCGAGTTTCCAATAACCCCATTTCCCTGTGGCATTCACTGTTCGTATACTTTAATTTCCTCCACGTTTTTCCTGCGCTCCTACCCACATGATACATTTATCTACACAAGTTTACTGAGTTGAATGTTCTCTAACACAGCCCCTTAAATACCAAAAGAACATTACCATCATGTTAATAATTTGCAAGGGAGGGGGCCCTTTAAGCCTTTACTATCAATGGAATGGGATACAAATAAATAGCTATAATAATGGAGACACGCTCTCGGGGAAACGAAAAGCCACAGCCAGAGAGGAGCAAGGACTTGAGGCTCCAGAAGGAGGGTGGACGGCTGGGGAAACAGCGAGCCCACGTCAGAGCCCTGGGCTGTGCTAACACAGAAGTCCGTCCTCTCCATTCTTCCCTGGGATGCTGCACAGAGCCACTGCAGCGGGCCTGAACAGCCTCTGCCCAGCAACAGGCTCCCATTGGTCATTTCCATCATTTGTGACTCTGACCTGTAAAAGTCTGCTCTGGATCTCCCCTCTCTATGGCAGAAACCCCCCAAAAAAGAGAGCTCATTTCAATCATTCCCTTAACCAAATACTCCTCAAAGGAAGCTAGAAAGCTTACACCTTGCTGGGTGGTTCAAAAATCTATTTTCTTACCTTTCCTACAGGCCCTGAACAGGCTTGACCTCCCCAAGGCATTATTTTTAGAATCCAGTCCAAAGTACTCTCTCATGCCTAACTGCACTTTCATTCTACACTGCTGAGAGGTAGGGAGAAATATGGTGATTTGCTTACTCCACTGCGCTGCAGATGGCAAGGTACAATGAGCGTCCGCGGCTGGCCAACGACAGCTCACGAATAAGCATTGTTTGGGACCAGCCCGAGAGTTTGAGAAGAGGAAACCAGGGAATGTGAGCATTTTCTTTTGATCCCCGTGCTCTTTCTACCCCACCATTCTGCCATCTGCCATCCTAGGTCCCTTCCACTCACTCACATTACCCTCAGATCCATCAAGTCCTGTCCTTCCCAAACAAATGCCTCTCATACCTGGGTTACTCTGGCACCTTATTTACAAACTCACACTCTACTACCACCGTGAGCCTGGGCGTGAGGTGATTAATCAACCCACTGCTGATAAGCCTCCCAATGCTGTACTTCCGCACCACCAGAGGCCACGGCCCACATTCAGGGTTGACTGCATTCAGGGCCACACCTCGAAACTCCTGGCTTGGAATCTCTCCACCTGCAGTCTCAGATGCTGCCTCCTCCGTGCATGGCCACGGCCTCCTGTCCTACGCTCGGCAGGGCCATTGCACAGCACGCCCACGTGCTGACCTGCCCCTCCAGCTTCCCCTTGTGCCTTTCCCAACCTACACTCATAGAACCAGGCCCTCGTTAGCGCCTGAGCCCCGACAGCTGGCAAAACACAGAAAACCCAAAAACTCTCTGGTGAGGAAAAGGACAGCATGTGAAAACAAAAGCTATAAAAAGTTTAGAATAAAACATAAAAGAAAAATCTTCAGAACCTAGGGCTAGGCAATGAGTTCTTAGACTTGACACCAGAAGCATAATCCACAAAAGGGAAAACTAACAAGCTGAACCTCATCAAAAATTCAAACTTTTGCTCTGTTAAAATTTTGTTCTCCTCGAATTTCTTTTGCTTTTACCCAAGTGAAGAGGACCAAAAGATAAACTATAAACAAGGAGAAATACTTGCAAACCACATAACCAATAAAGTACTTATATTGAGAATTCTTTATTATAAAGAATATTTAGAAATTTTAAATTTAGAATTTAGAAATTTAGAATTATAATTCTTTATTATAAAGAATTCTCGATATAAATACTATTCTCCAATTAAAAAGGGACAGAAGTTACAAAGAGACATTTCACAAATGGCAAATAAGCATCAGAAAAGATGTCTAATATCAGTAGTCATAGGGAAGTGCAAACCAAAATCACATGAGATACTGATACATGCCTGTATGAATGGCTAAAATAAGTTTTATTTTTTAAAACTTATTTGAAAAGTGTAGTGGCAGAGGAAGAGAGATGTTCTATTACTGGTTCACTTCCAAATGCCCACACAAGCTGGGGCTAGGCCATGTGGAAGGCAGGAGCCTGGAACTCCATCTGCGTCTCCCCTGTACATGGCAGGGACCCAACCATGGCATCACCTATTGCCTCCCAGGTACATCAGCAGGACACTGCGGCAAATGTGGAGTGGCCTAGACCTGAATCCACACACTCTGACTTGGAATACGGGCATTCCAACTGGCAGCTTAGCTGCTGTGCCACAACACCTGCCCCAGGATGGCAAAAATGAATGGTAACAAGCAAGGAAACCAAAAAACTAGGTTGCAGGTGAAGCTAAATGGTACAGCCACTCCGGAAAACAACTAGGAAGTTAATAAATAAATAAATGTGCAAAGGTCTTAAGATCTGGCAATTACACTCCTGGCCACTTTATCACACAGAAACGGAAATTTAGGTTCACATAAAAACCTATAGCAAATGTTTAAAGCAGATCTGCCATGGTCAAAAACTGGATCAGCCCAGAGGCCCTCTAATGGGTAAAGAGTTGAAGTATTAGGCCGGCTCTGCGGCTCACTAGGCTAATCCTCCACCTGCGGCGCCAGCACACCAGGTTCTAGTCCCAGTCGGGGCGCCGGATTCTGTCCCGGTTGCCCCTCTTCCAGGCCAGCTCTCTGCTGTGGCCAGGGAGTGCAGTGGAGAATGGCCCAAGTGCTTGGGCCCTGCACCCCATGGGAGACCAGGAGAAGTACCTGGCTCCTGGCTCTGGATTTGTGCAGCGGCCACTTGGGGGGTGAACCAATGGAAAAAGGAAGACCTTTCTCTCTGTCTCTCTCTCTCTCTCACTGTCTAACTCTGCCTGTCAATAAATAAATAGTTAAAGTATGGTACATATAAACCACTGAATATTACTCAACAATAAAAAGGAAAAAAAACCTGATACATAGCAACTTGGATGAATCCCCAGAGAAGTATGCTGAGCAAAAAAATCCAATCCAAAAACATTTTATTTAGTGTGGATCCATTTATATAGAACATGTTTGAAATGACGAAATTTTAACACTGAAGTTAAATTAGTGGTTGCCAGGAATCAGGGAAAAGGTGAGTGTTGGGGGTGCAGAGTATTATGATTCTAAAAGGGCAACACCAGGCAACTGTCCCATGGTGGACACATGAGCTGACACCAGGAGGATCCTGTACACGAACACACACACACACACACACACACACGGGCAAGTCAAACTGGGGAAGTCTGAACATGTTCAGTGAGCTATGTTGGCATCCGGTGATCACATGACACTACTGTTTAAAGAACCTAACCCTTGGAGGCCAAGGAAATGAGCAAAGTATATGAAAGGTCTCTGTCTATTATTTCTAAAACCCACAAGTGAATCTACAATTAGCTCAATAAAAATTACAATTAAAAAAATAAAATCAATAATGCTCTCCAACTTCTCTTGGGCCCTTCACTGCTCTGCAAGTCTGTTCTCCCCTGTCCATCGAGGCCCATTCCTCTGTAATGTCGTACTGAGCCTGCTCTATTTTTCAAAAGCCAACAACCCCATCTCGGCCCACAAGGACTTCATCTTCATCTGAAGAAGACAATCACTAGGCCCCCTTCTCCACCTTCTACCCATCTGCCATTACACACCAAAGATGGCCCCCTGCCTTTAAAGTCTTATCTGTTTGCTGCAACTCACAAATTCTTCTCCCTGCCTAACCCAACGGCCAAGTCTCTCCCCTGCCCTGTCCCTGCCAAGTGTGCCCTTAACTTGTTATGCCCTTCAAGACACCATGTCTCGAACCATGCACAGCCAACCTCTCCAAAGACTGGGTGCAGGGAAAGTTTCCTCTCAGTAGAGAGGGAGAACAAACTGAATCACCAGGCAAATGGTCAGAACACCACGCGCCCCAACGTTTTAAGGGCCACTCCCAATGCCAGTGTCACTTCCTGTTCATCTGTTTCTTGTGTCAACCCTAAAGGTGTGGTCCTATCTTCTGAGACTCAGGCTGCAGCCCAGCAGCCCAGTGGATCTCAAACCTAGCTGATCACCATGTGACTCAGGGAGCTTTCTAAAACACAGATGCCCAGGGACCACACTCCCAGAGAGGTTGAGTCAGTATTTGGTCTTTTTCTTCCCAGCTCCTCCAGGGTTTCTGTTGATGATGGTCAGGGCTGGGAGCCACTGACCCATCTCACTTTTTCTGAAAATGGCCATCTGTTTGCTCTCCCACGGCTACAGCCATTCCATTTTAAGCCCAAGCCACTTCTGCTGGAGATACTGGGAACTGTATCATCCAAACTCACAGCTTTTAGGGATCACATCTCTGGTGGGAGTCCTCAAGCTACCCCTGCATTCCCAACCACCCCAGCTCCAGGCATGAATTTGCAGCTCCATAGAGTCATTCAGAGGGGCACCTGGTACCCTCAGGCACATGACAGAACTCTGTTCCTCATCGCCTTCTACTCTACAAATCTGCTACTTCTGCCTCTACTCCCATCTGGTGGAAGAGCCCACCATCCTCCCCATCATCCAGCACTGGAACCCTGAAACCAAACCCCTCCCTCCTTCTCTTTCACAAGTCACATCAGGTCAGCAAGTTCTGTTGGTTTCCTATCTCAAACTCCTGCCACGGCACTGGGAGCACCCTAGAGTAGACCTCAGGCTCACCCATGGGAGTACTGCAACAGCCATCTAACTTGCCATGAACCTGCGGAGCTGGATTGGAAAACACAGGCTGAGTCACATCCCCTTTCCTGAAACCCACAACCAGAAACCTGGTAGGGCATGCGGGCCCTCTACAGCCTGGCCCCTGCCAGATCCGCCAGGCTCATGGACCACCCCTCCTGGGGCACTCAGGCCCAAGCCCATCACTGCTACACCCATTCAGGCCTCCGGGCCTTTTATCATGCTATTCTCTTCAGCCGTGATGCTCTTCCCTTTTCTTCCTCCCCATAGGAGCAAATTTGAACTGGGGTTCCAGAAACCATCTAAAGTTGCATCCACAATCCTGTAACTACATGCAAATACACATTTTTCTGGGGAGAGGGTTCAGAAACTTCTGCAGATTTCCAAAGGCGTCTATGAATATAAAACAGTCAGTTAAACACTTAAGTGGCCTTTCCTGCAAATTCAAAGTTACACAGGTCTGTCTCTGTGCCTCTCATTCCCTTTCATGTTCAAATACACACAAGTGCATTCCCACATCCTGAGTGATCACACCTGGTGCCCCCTACCTCTAAACTGTGTGTATCTCTAGAACAGAATATTCTTCCTCCTGCATCAACAAAGTGGTCAACTCACAGACTGGTTGCAAATGTCAGCTCCACAACTCATTTACCCTGTGACATTCAGCAAGTAACCCGACCTTCCAAGGCCTCAGCTTCCTCAGCTATAAAATGGGGATAATTACATTGGGCTGCTGTGAGGAATAAACAAAATATCACATTCTAAAGCACTGAGAAAGTGCCAGACACAGGGTAGCTGCTCAAACAGGCCAGCTATTTCACTCATGTCTGTCTGCTGTCCCCGCTCGCCGTGGGAGCACAGTGCAGGACCTCAGTGAAGACGCATCACCTCAGGGTGCCCTGACTGCTCACGCTACCACAGCAGCGCTGTCAGAAAGTACATCTCCTGTCCACGGCCACAGCACCCTGAACTTGGCTGACCTCGGAAGCTAAGCAGGGTCGGGCTGGTTAGTACTTGGAGGGAGAAAGCACAATGTGTAAATAACATTCTTTTCCTTTTCCCTCCCTTTATGACCAATTCTTGAGCCATCCTTAATGAGCTATTTTTTTTTTTTTTTGCATGGATTACACAAGAGCTTGCACCTTACACATAAACCTTTGCATGTCCCCCACCTCCCCCCAGTTTCCCATCAAAACACTGATGATGCTGGCTCTGTTACTCTCACAGGAACCCAACTATTTCAAAATCCCCATCACTCTTCAGTTCTGAGCATTCCAGAATTAACCCTTTCCTTACTATGGTCCCTATTTTGAGCAGCAATCCCTTCTTCCTCTTTAAATTACCATGTGCCCACACAAACCACAGTTATCAAAGGCTCTTCTTTCTGCATCTAAGAGGACCATAAAGCATAATACTTTTCTTTTCCCTTTTTTTCCTTTAATATCCAGTTCCTGTAACAGTAGAGGCCCTCAGGCCCACAGGCTTAATCAGTCCACTTTCTCTGTTTCAACCAATAATCCATCTCATGAATGCAGTCAACAAATAGTACTGACACCTTCTGTGTCTCAGGACTGCAAACACAGCCTGCACAGGGCAGACTGGGACACACATGGCCCCTGCAGTAGGGAGCTTCCAGCTTGCGCCAAGGGTCTAGCTCTTTCGGTTTCAGATTTCTAACCAACTGACTTGAAATAACACCCCAAATCACACAGTTCAGATGGGAAATCAAACATGCCACACAACATTCAGATAGAAACCGGGGAAACCTAAGTTTGGCTCAGGCCCCACGGATCCCTTTCCCAAGGCCTACAGGGCTTGGAGTCCACGGCCACTCCCACACCAGGGTCTCTGGGGGCTTCACAGACACAGCGCACCAGCCCCATGTCAGAGACATGGAAGGGCGACCTCACGTCTCCCTGACCAGCTCTGGAGCAGATTTCAGCCTCTGCCTGCCCTCACTGCTTAACGAACACTCACCCGTGTGTGCCTGTGAGCACCCTCATCCTGAGGTCCCCTGGTCAGTGCTGCCACCAGCTCGCTAGAAGAGCTCAACATTCCCTTCTTCCCTCTTGTGTCTCGTGCTCCTGTGAGTCAACGAGGGGCCAATTCCAAGTCCTGCATCCCCTTGGCTGGCAGGGCACAGGTCAGCAAGTGGGGAGAACGGACCCAGAAACACCTTCCTCCTCACCTTCTGGGGCTCTCTGGGGCTGACCAGTAAGCTCTGACAGCGCAGGAAAAAGGGGCCCTCCCTGGGGCAGTCCTAAGCAAGGACCCTGAAGACATCTGCTCACAAAAGCAGAAAGTCACTGGCCAGAGTGCTTGTAGACTCCTAGGGCACCAGAACCTTCCAGATATCTTCCTGGCCACCAGCAGGGCCAGCCTTGTGATCCGGGACCCTCCCCACAGCGTTATTTGAGATGCTGTCTTCGTGCCAGCATCAGGCCAAGTGCCTTAGACTCTGGTGGCCAAGAACAGGCTTCAAAAGGCTAAGTGGAAGGTGACCATCTTCAAAGGGCTCCCAGACTTCCCAGAAAGTTTTGGCACACAGCCTTGACCTGAGGTCAATTTCCTGCAAATGAACTTGTGACAGCTCCATGAGGGCAGGGACTGTGTCTGTCTGGTTCACTACTATGTCCCTGACAATCCCCTACACAGCTGGCACCCAACACCAATTTGCTGCATTGCTGTATAGTGGTTTCCACCAAGGAAGAACAAAAGCACAGTGGTAAGAGTCCAGGTCTTAGGGTCAGACAGACCTGGATTTGAAACTCTGTACTATCACACCATTTATATTGGCCCTTGAGAGCCACTTTACCCCCTCGTAGCTTCAATTTCCTCATCTGTGAAGCAGGATCACAACACTAACCTCGAGGCACTGCTGAGCATTTGATGCAAATTACATGGAAAGTCTTCAGCACAGTATACAGCAGAGGCCTTCTTGTCTGCAGTTCATAAACACTGACTCAGCTCTAACTGTGTGCCTGGTATTGTAGGCATGGTAGAAAGGGCCCCAGATTACAATTAGTATACGGAATTCTTCATCTATTTAACCCCACTTTGTAGCTCAGGAAACTGAGGCGGAGAGAAGTCAGGCAAAGTCTGAATCCCAGAAGCGGTAGATTAATATTAATTATCAAGTCCAAACTGCTCTGCTTCTACAGCTCCTGTCCTCAGCCTGGTTTAATTATGGGGGTTATGTGACCATTTGCAAGACTGGAGTTTTCAGTTGCAAAAGAAACATACCCACGTAGTCCCACATTCACGGTTTTGTTTTCAATTATGGCCTGGTCTTCTAAAATCCAGTTTTTGTCTTCCTGCCATCCCCTCTCCTACTATCCACCAGAAAAAGACACAAAGCTAACGAAAAGACAGCCATAGAGAAAGAGAGCTTCAGCAAGTGTGATTCTTAGGAACAAAGTCAAAGAAGGTCCCACCCCCTCCCAATTACCCACAAGAACTACTGCCTACACATTAAAGGTGGCCAAGGCAGAAGCAATCTAAGCACAGGGAGGCCAACTACAGTAAAGTCTCAGCTCCCGAAGGCCAAGGCTACAGAAGAGAGACTTAAGTCATCCCCATGGCTAAAGCTCCATCGCACAGAGGGCTTTCCATTCTCCTCCTCTATAAGACTGTATCTGCTCTACTGCCAACTATGAAGGAAATTTCATTACAAAAATAAATCACTTGACCTTGCTTCATCCAATGGCTCAGGATCAGCAACATCACAAAGTACTCCACAAATGCTCAGAAATATCAGAATAACCCCCTCAAGTCAGAAACACTTGGCATGTCACTAAAAGACATTAAATTATTTTGATTTTACTACATGGAATCCAAAATGTTTTCAATGTTTTCATTTTCAAAACCCTTAGAGAAAAACGATGGTCTTAAGACCTTAAGAAACCCTGATTCCTGGTCTGGTTTGTGTCCTGATTCGTGTGCGGTAAGATGGGGAACAGGCCAGGAGCCAGGAACGGTAGCTCTGGCCCCACACTGCTCACATGACTCAATCCCCCCAGCGTCTGGGGCCTCACTGTGCAAGCTCCAAATCAACCTTCTCTCATCCTGAAAGTCACAGGCAGGTCAGAGCAGCCCCCAGCATTTAAGGCAGCTCCTCTGAAGGGGTCTAGTCCCCAGCTCTGTAGGCTGCCCATCACATGTCGCTTCCACGGCAGTAGTAGCTCTTCGGTGTTGACCAAGCAGTGTGGGTAGATGTTTTCTCCCCAGGGCAGTTTCTGGAAGTGGAGGCTGCACTGGCTTTGGGGCCAGTGTAGCAAATGCATCTCAGGGTACAAAGTCCTGCAGGCTATATACTCCACCTGCTGAAAAACCCACAACCTGTAAGACTGTTCTCCCCCAGTGAGTTTTAATCCCAGTGCTGCCTGCTCAAAAAGATGGCTCCCATTTAACCCAGGCTGGCTGCCAACACAGTCAGTGATTGTTTTGCTGATTTAAGGAAAAAAGATTCCACACATCAAGAACACGTGCACTCAGGAGGCTTTCAGAACCCCAGTCACCCTGGGCCCTAAGGATACCACAGCCAGCACATGTGTCAGTAACTGCGCATCTCACTGAGCACAAGTCACAAAACCGCGGTACTGGAAGACAGAGAAGTCTAAGGGCCCCACGGGCATCATTTACCAACATACGAGACATACGAAGACCCTGGTCACGCTGTTCAAGTTCATGGTGGACAGACTGACTGAAACTCAACACTGCCCACTGTTCTTTTTCCTAGACTGCTGCTGCCTCTGACACCCAATTATGGTCATCAGCTCTTACACAATTATTTTACATAAAAATATTTTTAGCATTTGAGGTCCAGGTGAACTGGCAAAATCTACCATGGATGCCATCTAAAAGTAAAATCTCAACAGAGAACAAACATTGGGGTTGACAAAACTTGACTTTAGCTTTAAATTTATTACATGGTCAGCCCTTGAAAACCTATCTGTAAAGGAGCAGTGCCTATCCCCAGGTTCCTTGTGAAAAGTGAAGCGCTGTCCTGAATCCCAACCCGGATTCCAACTAAGCCATTATTTTAGAAGAGAGCAATTTCTGGGTAAACCAGTGTGAGTTGCACAAGGTCATGGCCCAAAGCACCCTTCACAACACCTCATAAAACCATCTTCAAAGAGGATTAAAGCGCTGTTCTCTGCATTAAAGAGACAGAGGAGATGCCTTTTCAGGAATGAAGAGAGGACCCTGGAAGCAAAAAGGCAGGCTGAGAAAGAGGAGCTGAGGTCAGACATAAACCTAGACCCACACACTTCTTAGCCATGGCAGCTGAGATGGCTCATCACACGTCTACAGCTCTAGACACCAAGAAGCTGCTCTGGCTACAAGGAATATTATGAGAGCATGAAACAAATGCCAGGGGGTTGCCCCCCCGCCCCGCCCCGTGTTTGACAGGCTCAGAGACGCCAACGCTCCAGAAAGCACAATTTGCCTTGTTTCCATTACATCATCCCAGCTGGCGAGGGAGCGGGCAGGGTGGGGGGCACAGCTGGTAGCAGCTGCACCACCATCTGCTTTCTCCTCAGCAGTGTCTGCTGGTTTGAGCTGCAGCCTCCTACGGCTCCTGATGGAGGAAACGCACTGTTAAAGGTACAATACCCTATTATGGAAAAAGATTTCAAATTATTTAGAAATAAATCTTTCTCGTGACAAGTTAACAACCCCAGATAGGTGACTGAGCCGGTTCTTTCTGAGTTTCTGTTGTTTGCATCTCTTTAGACTCTGCGACAGTGCAGACTGTCAACTCAACGTGTCCAGTCAGACAAGCAGAATGGACAAGCAACCAGCTGCCATCTGCTACTCAAAAGGTAAGCAGAGGGCTGCAGGTCCGCACCTGGGAGCACTCAGGGGAGGAGGGGGAACACCCACAGCCGGCAGGCCAACCCCAGCCGAGGGACGGGGCTCTCACTGCTGCCTTCGGCATCCTCAGCCATCGGGGTAACAGCTCTCACCCTCCCGGGCACTCTCGAGTCTCCTTCAGAACACACTGCGAGGTGCCCCCTTGTAGAAGGGGAGCCTCTCTGGGGCAGCAAGGCGGGTCATGCCTCATCTGGCTGTCCCACTGCACACTGGTCGCTCAGGGGTCTGACTGAGCCCATGTGTGCATCTTACCTGGCCTGCACAGGGTTGGTGACTGTGTGTGCATTTTTTTTTAAGTGCTGGCTTTCAGAAATACTAGACTTCATATAACATCTATACTTCTAGTTCATCCAGGGACAGAGCAGGGGGACCAGAGATTTGGCGGCTGCAGGACCCCGTGGCTCTGCAGCACCAGTCATCTGAATTCAGCAGCAATGCTTCTCTTAGACTAGGCCTGCATTCCAAAGAACACATCCCCACCACTCATGTCTGCATTTGCTACTGCAACCACCTGCACTCCTCCAAGCATCTGTTTTGGTGCCATGGAGATCTTCGACCCAATGCAATGAACCCACCGCATGGGAAGGCTGGCACACAATGGCAGGTGGGAGTATTTCACAGCATCATTGCAGGCCACTTACCATACATTTTGCCTTCGTCTGATAAGATGATTTTCCTCCTCCCACACGGCGGGTAGATAGCCAGGGCCTCCTGAAAGCTCTGCTCGATGTCGGGGCTCCAGACCCCCTCTGCGTCATTGTCAATGGGCTTATCTGCAGAGTCACTCATCCTCTCCATGTTTTCGGCAGGGCTCTCGCTGCCGCTCCAGCTGCTGGGCTCAATTTTGGCGGTTGTATTTTCCAAGCCGAAGCCTGGAGCCTTTTCAAGAAAATAAACCTAAAAAGAGAAATCACAAAGGAGTGTGAGACAGGTGACCACAAACATAGGAGAGGAAAACATGCATCATGAAAAAACTACTCATGGATCTCCAAATTCCTCTGCATGCTAATAAACTTATCTTTTAATTCTGTTTCTTCCACAAACTCTCTAAAGTACCCTTGTGTTACTCTGGCTGGCTCTGTTGCAAGTTCTCCCATCACCAGTTTTGCCTAGAGAGTAACTCCTAAGGGAGATGTGGAATTTTGAGATCCTGTGTCTCCTGGTAAGCACTCAGACAGAAATGCAACAACAGGCAGAGGCTGGAAAATCTTCACAGGAGACAGGACATTTTCAACCAAGAAGAGTGCTCACTCAGAGTTGCAAGTCTGCTGTGATTCATATAAAAACCATTTACCAACGGCCTACTATCCACCAGGGGCACTTTGCTCAGTGATAATCAAATCTCCATAGCAGAACAAGTTGCTTAAAAAAAAATAAAGTAAAATAAAAGATGTCTGCCTCATTGTGGCAATTGGCATCATAGCTCTGAAATGTCAAAACATCCAATATGAAATCACCAAGATGCAAGGCGGTGGCAGGATCAAGGAAGGAAGGAGGGAGATGATGTTGTTATCACCATTACTCATTGCTCTGAGGCAGCAGCAACGCCACCCAATCGGGGCCTACAGCATCTGTCTCCAGGGCTTTCAGTCTGTACAGTTAGATCATTCTGCTGCTCTCAGCTCTGACGGTACAACCTGGAGGCAGCCACAACCCCCTCACCACCACCACCGCGGGTGTCTTGCACACCTGTGGAAATGTTCTCTACCTGCACATGGCACTGAATCTAACATTCTGAACACATGGGGTGGGGCAGGAAGGGGTCTTTTCATTTCTTTTTCTGTAGCACTGATACTTACAGAATCCAAAGAAGTCTTTCTCAAAGATGTATTCCCCTTAAATTATACATGTAACCTATGGCAATAAAGGGATAAGCTCTCCCAACAAATGCCAAACTGGCATAACACCAATGTGAAAACGATCTAATCCAGCACTCCCTGCTGTCCAACCCACTGACATATCAATATTCCTTTGTTGAAAAGGCATCAGATCATACATTCAAAGGCCTTCCAAAAGCAGGGAGAAGAATTGCTCCTGAGGACTGATGGAAAGGGGGAGGCCTGGGGCTCCAGTAACGAAGGCTTTGTGTGAGTACTGTTTCTCCCCTTCCCACCCCCTCAAGCCCATGGATATTACAACAGAGGCACTCGGGAGGGAAGCAGGTGCTGGTAGCCCGACTCAGAGCCAGGGACTCCTCCGTGATCCAGGGTCTGTCTGACTGCCTCTCTCCCAAATGCATCCTATCTCCCTCTAGCCCTCCTCCACCTGTGTACATCAACAGATCCCAGGTGCAGAAACTCTGCAGCCTATGAATATTACACAATTAATGCTATAACTAGTGGGTGCTTTTGGCTTCTCACCCTGACAGCTTTTTATAGTTGGCAGCACCTGGATTTAAAAAAAAAAAAAAAACCCTCAGGTTCTCTGCCTTTAAATGCTGCCACTGAGCCATCACTCAAAGAACTTGTCAGCAAAATATTTACTACCTCTTACCAATACATGTATGTTTATATGGGCCTTCAGAAATTGCCAACATTAAGCTATAATTTATGCCACAAGAAAGAGTTCTGTGATTCACCCTTAGATGAACCCTACAACGCCTGCAGTAGGGACCTTTTGAATTCTCGAACTATCACATTTTTTGGTTAAGATCTAAGAGTCTTATAAACACCAGCTGAACTAAACTATGCCCTAGAGTCAGTTCTCGCTCCAACTAGAGAAGAATGAGGGTAAATTCTTTGAGCAGTGGCTTACCCACCTCCTCCCTGAACAAAATATAAAACAAAAACAAAACATATGCATACAAAAACCAATGCCAAAGGCCAGTTACTTAGCCCTTGGGCAGCTCACAGCAATATGAATTCACTCCAGGGAGCCACAGTTTAAGATAAACAGAAGATCTGCCCAGCACTTGACCAGTATGGTAGAGAGAACCCAGGACAGTGAAAGCTAGCTAAAGGGACCCAAGACCTTTGTTTGTCTAGAAAGAAAGTTAGCATACAACTGATGGCCCCAGTGTCTCCAGACCCAAACACACCAGCTGGGGCCAGCACTATGGCGCAGTGGGTTAAGCTGCCACCTGTGACACTGGCATCCCATATGAGCACAGGTTCAAGTCTCGGCTGCTCCACTTCTGATCCAGCTCCCTGCTAATGCGCTGGGAGAGCAGCACCCACATGCAGTTTCAGGTTCCTGCCTCTGGCCTGGATGAGCCCTGGCCATTGACTCTCTCTCTCTCTGTCTAACTCTTCCTTTCAAATAAACACATGTTAAACAACAACCCCCATCCCCCACTATGAAGTCTCCTCTAAAATTTCTCATCAGCTGACTACACTGTCTGAACTTGAACACCATCAGTGACAGGGAACTCATCCTCTTCCTCACCCACCTTCACACTGACAGGGTAAAATTCCATTAGGCCAATCCCATCTCCTACTCATCCATCTCTTAGGGAGGCAAACACCTCCCCAAGACACCAACTTAGGAAACACAGGGGCAGCCCCCAGGCCTTGGTCATCTTCCAGCCTAGACAATATCATCCCTCTGCCCATGCCTCACAAATGCATCCCAATTTAGCCACAACTCTCAATAACCAGCACTCAGCCGTGGACCTGTCCATGAAACCTCTAAGCTCCTGCCCCCCGGGTTCTGAATCCTGTCTCTTGAGCAGTTGGTTTCAGAGCTAAAATCAAGAGCATATTTACTTCATGACTTACTAAATTCCATTCATTTTAGCCGCAGCCCAGGGCTCCAAGCCAGGAAGATCTTTTTGCATTATCATTGCCGAGCTTTAGGTACTGAACACCTGTGAAGAGCTGCATGCCCCATGGACAGGGTGTAGACCCATTCTGTAGAAGGTCCCAAGAAGATCTGGACTCCATGTGAAGAACTTCTGCTAGCTGACCTGTGTAGCAATGAGGGGACTGCCCTAGAGGGCCAGCAGCACTGTCCCATGGACAGCCCCATCTACAGAAAAGAGGAACAAGTCTGTGGTTGTTTGAGAACTGCCAACACTAACTAGCATGGACTGACCCATCCACTTAGTACATACAGACACTGTCCTAATAGTCACGCAGTTTTATTAATTTACTGACAAGTGAAAAACTTTGTGTCCAGACTCCTGCAATTTGGTCAAGTGGAACTCTGAAGGATGGAATTACCCACCCTGGATATAGGCCAGGCCCAGCCCCAGAAACTACAAGATACATAATCCACAGAGTGAGAGAAGCCTTGGTTTTACAACCCAACTGTAAGATGAGGCCCTGTATGGGCAGAGTTTCCGATCACAAGACTGGGGCTGGCTGAGAAAAGCTCCCCAACTGGATACCGAAATAAACATTCTGGCATTACATCCTCAGCTTCCTTCCAGCTCAGCTCAAAATCCACCTCATCCTGGAAACTGACCTTGTATCTAGTGGCTTTGAGACTATCTGTGACACTTTAGGAGTTTCCTAAAGATGTGTGGAATTGGTTAACGACCACTCAACCTACCTTGATTCTAAAGGTACAGTAACAAGCACCTGCTCATGACTAACATGAAGAGCTAATCGAGGGGATTATGCACAGAGTATCTGCACCTACATATCTGATGTCTTCACCTTCCCAGACATCCTTGGAGGGAGGGAGTCACTCAAACTGGGGGTGGGCATCACCAGCATTCCATATTAGAGTGCCAACTCCAGTCCTCGTTGTTCTGCTTGATCCAGTTTCCTGCCAACATGCCTGGTAAGGCTGAGAGGATGAACCAAGTGCCTGAGTATCTGCCACCAACATAAGAGACTAAGGATGGAGTTCCTACCTCCTGGCTTCAGCCAGGCCCAGCCCTGGCTATTGTGGGCATTTGGGAAGTAACCCAGTGGATGGAATCAGTTCTCTCTCCCTCCCTTTCTCCTCTTCCTTCACCCTCTCTCTCCCTTTGAATAAATAAAATAAACAAATCTTTTAAGTAATGACTCAAACTGATGTGGGTTCTAAGCCTGGCTCTGCCAGGAGTCATGCAACTCAAACTAAGGTGATCTCTCAGAAGATCAGGCCTCATTTATAAAATGGAGATAAAAAACTCAGTCCCAATACAGAGCAGTCGGAGCTGGCACTATGGTTTACTGGGTAAAGCTGCTCCCTGCAGTGTTGGCATCCCATATGGGTGATGGTTCAAGTACCTGCTGCTCCACTTCTGATCCAGCTCCCTGCTAATGTGCCTGGGAAAACAGTAGAAGATGCCCCAAGTATTTGGGCCCCTGCACTCATGTGGGAAACTGGGAGGTAGCCTCTGGCTCCTTGCTTCAGCTCAGCCCAGCTCCAGTCATTGTGGCCATTTTGGGAATGAACCAGTGGATGGAAGACCTCTCCCTCTCCTTCTTCCTCTGCCTCTCTGCAACTCTGCCTTTCGAATAAATAAATCTTAAAAAAAAAAAAAAACCAACCACAGAGCAGTCATTGAGGGGGAGGGTTCACCCCACAGAGTGGACATAAAGATTTAGTGAGTGAACAAGGAAAGGTGCTCTGTCATCTGCAAAACTATGAATAGATCCACATTTCTTTCCAAGCCCACATCTCTAGACAATGATATGCACCTGTGATGCCAACACACCCAACAAGGGGATGATAATAAATCAAAGGGCATCCCCTAACAGTTCACTCTGGGAAATCAATTTTCCAAGGACCAGCACCTTCACATATGACAGTTGCTTAAATCTGACCATATTCACAAGTTCAAGATTTTGGGGAGGGGAAGTGGGGAATATCCCTTCCCACAGAATACCTACAAGACTGTGTTTGTTGAACCTACTTCAGAAAGATCATGGGAAATATGTACTATTAAAAAAAAAAGAACTGCGTGGACTTCAGAATTTTTGCTACAAAGTAAAATTACCTTTAATTCCATTCTGAGGTACACA